TGCTCACCAGCTGCGTTGGTGTTGCAGATAGCGTTTGGCTGAACCGTTGGAGGGTTGGCGTCCACGCAGGACTGCTCACCAGCTGCGTTGGTGTTGCAGATGGCTCCCGGGGTTTGGTTGATCGATGGAGACTTGCTTGAAGCACCGGAGGAGTGAGATGAGCTAGACGAGCCGGAAGCTCCACCGTAGGTTGCGGGCGCTGGCGGCATGTTCTGGACTGGTGGAGGGGCCGACTTCTTTGGTGGAGTTGGGGGAGAGTCTTCAACGGGTGGGGTTTCCTTCTTTGGTGGGGTTGGAGGAGAGTCTTCAACAGGAGGAGTCGACTTCTTTGGTGGAGTTGGAGGAGAGTCCTCGACCGGTGGGGTTTCCTTCTTCGGCGGAGTTGGGGGAGAGTCCTCAACTGGCGGGGTTGACTTCTTTGGCGGGGTTGGAGGAGAGTCCTGCAAAAGGGAAAGGTAGAAAGGTTAGCGATGTCTGAAACATTATCATTGTGGATATAGGCATAGCGTAGTGGGAGAGACTTCTTCGAGTTACTCTGTACGACTTCTGCCCTTCGATATCTTACCTCGACTGGTGGAGGTGGAGTGCCGTCTTTTGGGGTCGTGCCGCCGTATGTCGCGGGAGTCTCCATCTTTGGTGCGGGAGGAGTTTCGGCTTGAGGGGGAGGCACTTCCTTCTTTGGTGCAGGAGGAGTCTCGGCTTGAGGAGGTGGAACTTCCTTCTTTGGCGCAGGAGGAATCTCGGCTTGAGGAGGAGGAACTTCCTTCTTTGGTGCAGGAGGAACATCACCACCCGGTGGAGTTTCCTTCTTAGGTGGCGATGGTGGCATGTCTTTCTTAGGCGACGGTGGCATCTCCTTCTCGGGCGATGGTGGCATCTCCTTCTTAGGTGGCGRTGGTGGCATGTCGTTCTTAGGCGATGGTGGCATGTCGTTCTTAGGCGACGGTGGCATGTCGTTCTTAGGCGGTGGTGGCATGTCGTTCTTAGGCGACGGTGGCATGTCGTTCTTAGGCGACGGTGGCATRTCGTTCTTTGGCGATGGGGGCATCTCGTTCTTTGGTGACGGTGGCATCTCCTTCATTGGAGGAGGAGATGATTTCTGAATTGGTGGTGGAGCGGGAATGTCCATCTGAGGCGCCGGTGGGGTCTGCCCGTAGGATGGCGGCATGATAGGTTGCTTGGGAGCTGGTGGGGGGACGACGGGCATCACCGGCTTCACCGGTTGAGGAGCCCAGTAAGCCGGAGGAGCCGCTGGTGGGTCGTAGGCGGGCGGTGCCATGACAGGGGCAACTGGCCTCGCTGGTGGTGGTGGCGCCCAGTAGGCTGGAGGGGCCGGTGGGGGAGCGTATGAGGCCGGCGGGTCATAGGCGGCTGGCGATCCGTAAGAGGATGCATGGTTCTCGCCCTTTTGAGCAACGTTAGCAATATTTTTTTCCACATTGTCTTGCAAACATGACATACCACTGCTACCGCACCAACAGCCAAGGGTGCGGCCTGAGCAAGGCCGGCGTACAAAGCCAGGAAGCTGGCGACGTTGGAGGAATGCATATTGAACGAATGAATGGACGGATTGAAAGCGAGTGTGGTGTGTGGTGGAAAGCGAAAGGAAATCGCTGTGCTGGCTGACCGTTGTAGGGCGCAAGCTGTACATGCCTATATACTTTCATCAAGTTTTTCCTGGTGCACCTCATCGTGTGAGCATCAGGCTGGTACCCAGCTCTGTGAGGCCCCGTCCCCAGGAAGTTCACCGTGCGCATGTCCATTTCCGGTGGGTACCGCACCGGGGGGAGGTCCAGGACAAGCTTGCTCATTGATCTTGCTGAGCTCTGTTCCTTGAAGGGTAGACATGGATGCATTCGATGGTTTCTCCGCCATCGCTGATCCAAGTCCGGGGCACTTTGTGGTGCAATCAATGCCGTCAACTGATGGTGGATTGGGCTCATGATGGGTGGTTTGTGTCGTCGTCACCACTCGTCGATTTGACGTCAAAGACGTGTGACTTTGCAAACGCTGCTGGACGGAATTTGCCATGAGCTCTACATTTTGGTGGATTGGGTTTCATTGCACGTCCACGTAAGACTCCGGAATCCTTTYCCACGAGCTCATGTCACTTGCAAGGAGGATTCCTGCCAATGTGAAACGTCGACAGTCGATCCCCATTCATTCATTGGTGTGGGGGGATCTATCTTTGGGGATATTGCCGGATATTCCTGCTCATCATTCTTGCTCGACAGTCAATGCTTCCTCGTCCAGATGCAGGCAGGCAGGGTGGGATTGACAGCTCTGTCCTGGTCCACGTCCTGGACGAAAAAGTATGTTCCGACGTAACTTTATAGGCATCTCCAGCATGTTGTCGTCATCAGCATCAGACCAGTTGAGGCCATCGATCGGAAGCATTCTGACCCGCCAAATGTGTGCTGTTTCGTTCAGGAAATTTCTCACTTACATGATCTGGCCGCGATAGGACACAGGAATTGAGGGAAGGTATGTATGTAGTGCAGTGTAAAGAAGTTGAAGTCGGCGATCCAAAATAGCGCGAAATGGTGTTTGTTTGGCGTCCCTAAATTTACGCAGTTCCATACCTTACTCCCGTCACTCTCGTAATAACAAAGTCAATTGTAATTTGACCATCCATCCTTGTCCTCGTACTGCATTTCGAGGGCCGCCAATCAGATCATCAACATGTATAGATCGATGTGGGGAAGAAGTCGTGCCTCTACCATGCTACGATCGAATGTTCCAGGCAAAGTTCAGACAGGTACTGGATGCTTTAAAGGATGGAACGGAACACAAGTCAACTTCAGCGCTGGTATCTCTCCCCAAAGACTTCTCCGATGCTGAGATTGCCAGTCCATACGACCACCCATGCTCAACTTACTGCACATTCGAGAGGGTGGAAGCACGGCGAGTGGGACAGATATGATCCGCTCAGCATACGAGACCAAGTTACCAGAGTGGCTGCTTGAACTTGGCGCTGCTCGAACTCAGCACTGCTCCATTTGCCATCTCCGCTGCACCATCGAAACGGAAGCGTGGGGAGAGTGTCGAAGAAGGTAAAGTCCAGCGTGGCAGTGAGGGAGCACACAGCACCAATGGCAAGTACTGGCWATTCAAGACTGAGGCTGCCGTTTGTCAGAGTCTCAACCGAAGGTCAAGGCGGACCATGCACACTACCACTACAGTCATCGCGACAGACGGCGAATATTCATCATCCTCGCCTGTCTCTTTCCTCGAATTCGGCATGATGCTCCGCTACAAGCAAGCAATCAGCCCTTCTCGTTCATCATCGAAGTACATTAATCTACCTGACGACAGAGGTGGAAAGACTCTTAGGACCTCTTCTATCGTACTCTACGCATGGCATATACCTAGGATTGGCTCTAAGATGCTTCGGTAAGGCTCCTTCGCGTACCTATACTCGTTGTTAGCTTCCATCGCCTGGCAAAGAACAAGAATAAGAAACTTCTACACAAAACCTCTGCTACACTACACCATCGTCAGAAAGCACAAGGTAGAAATTACCCATCTTCGTGTACGAGCCCAGTCACCTCAGTCAAAAACGCAGTCCGAGATTTTGCCCAGACTACTTTATTTGAGATTCCACTCCAAAGCAGTTGTGGAGAAGATGATGTGATATTCTTCCCACGTAGAATCTTCAGCTTCATTCAAGTAGACCAAGATAGACWACCTCTTTCCCACATGCTCGAATTTCCAATTCCTCTACTTCTACCCACTTGAAATGGATTAGAAGACGATACCATGCGCTCATCTGAGTAGGTAAGAACGATAACAAGTTCCATTGCATTCCATTCACTTCCATTCCACTCCTATTTTGTCGCACAATATCTCCACAAGTCCACCCCTCACAGAACTTCCCAACCACCACTCAACATCCTTTAACCCTCCCTTCATTACACCTTCTTCCCCTTCTCCAACTTCCTCTTCTTCTCCCGAATCTTCTTGGCGCCATCCTCCTTCTCCGCATTGGAATACACCATCTTCTCGTACATCTTCCGCTTGCGATTCGGCATCATCATCTTCTGCCTCTCCACCTCCTCCCTCGCCTCCCTCTCCTTTTTACTTATCACCTTTTGCGCCGCCTTCCTCTCCTCCTTCTTCGTCTTGGGTTTCGCGGGTTGAACAGTCTTGCCCAGCGCCTCGGCCTCCAATTCCGCTTGATGTGCCCTCGCAGCGGCGTCCGTCGGATCTTCAGGTTCGTCATCATCATCTCCGTTCCCTGAGAAACCGTCCCAATCACCACCTGCAGGTACATCCGCATCAGACTCCTCCCCATCCGAACCGAGTTCGACATCCATGCCTTCACCCTGCGCAACATTTCTCTTCAGAAGGGAGTCCTGTAGTCCCGCCTCTCCCTCCACTTCACTCCCTTCTTCTTCTTCTTCCTGATCATCACCACTTTCCTCTTCATCCTCCCCAATGGCCTCCATCTGCGCCTCGGCGGCAGTTTCCTGCTCGGCGAGACTCAATGTAGGATCATATTCTCCCTTCTTCGCCTTGACCCAAGGACTCAAATGAGGAGGGAGTTCGGCACCGGGAGCATACAGATCGGGCCGTTGTAGTTTGCCCGCATTGATCGAATCCCACACCCATTGCGGTTGAATGTATGTCCTGCCGGGGACCCTCTYTTGCACCTTTTTCGCGGGAGCACCATCGTCAAAGCCGTCATCCAACTCATCCTCCGCACCTGCCATCGTCTCATCGACAGAAGAGACGGGAAGATCCGGCCGATCAACAATCTGATGTGTGATTCTCGCATCATCTTCATTACAATATGAGCCTGCCTCTCCGATCAGACTATCCCAGCCGACACGCTTGCAGCCGAACGATTTGAGGAGGAATTCCAGAGGATGGAGGGGAGTTTCGCGGGAGAGGTAAAAGGTAAAGGGTTCGAAGAGTTTGGCAGCGGAGGCGGCGTCTGCGGTGTTGGAAGGTTGGAGGAGGGTGTCGGCGGTGGGATCGATGGGGACAAAGTTGTCGAGGGTGGTGGTGGATTCGGGTTCGTCTTGTGTCGCTCGGCCGAGGGTCATGCTGCTTTGTGGTTCCGCTGTGACATCTTCATCCTCTGCCGTGGCGGATGAAGCGGCGGAAGCGATGAGCTTGTCGGCTTCTTCTTGTGCGTGTTGGTTGGTCTCTGTGTCTGCCATCTGCACCTCCGTCTCGACCACATCTCCATTCTTTGCCTCGAGTTGGAAGGCACCCAACTCCGCACCCTGTTCCTCGCTCTTAAGATCGAATTTGGGAGGATAGACCAATCCGATGCCGGTGTACAGCCTGTAGTTGACAAATCCCAGCAATGTAGTGTAGAATTCGACAAACGTGGCCATGATGCGGAAATCGACATCTCCCGCCGTCCTCTGCACAAACTTGTAGGGGACCAACCAGAGGATATCCTGGCCTTGGATGGTGGCTTGATAGTAAATTCCCTTGATGGACAAGAACGACTTGCGCATGCTGTGGGTACGGATCAAGTAATGCTCAAACTCCATGGTCAACCGTTGACACTTYGCAATGATCTTGGGAGGAACATTCTCCGTGCTGGGCAGGTTTGCAAAGAGGAAGAGCATGGACAAGGCATCGTCCAGATCCCTCAGCGCATCGACAAAGGTCGGGTATCGCTCCTTGATGATGTGGTCCAACTTCATGCGCGGAGTCAAGTTCTTCTCCAGACGAGCAGCATCGCCGACCTCATTGCGACCCAGGGCCTTGCTGATCTTCTTGGCGAGGGCCTTTTGATCGCGGAATTTGGCGAGGAGGGGTTCGTGGAGGAGGTAGGCAATGTCCTTGGTGTAGTAGTACGTCGTGCTGGGCGTCGACGAGGAAGACACACGCTTCTTGGATCGGGGTTCGCGGGGGTAGATGCCCTTGAAGATGCACAATCGTCGGAAATCGGGCAGGGAAATCTGCAGTTTGCGCACCGCTTGCGAGCGGGTGATGTAGTTTTTGGCATTACCGGCCGTGCCTGGTGGACATGATGTGGTTAGGAGAAATCATTCGATTACTTTACGACATGTGCATACCTCTCTTCTTAATGCGACCCATTTTTGACGGTGGTGGTCGAGGTTGATGGAGCAAGCCGTCCAGCAAAACTTCGTTGCCGCTCGAAATCTGAAAATCATCGAGCTAGCGTCGCGGAYCATCGGCAGGGTTCAGATACTTAGCGTTGCACTTTTTGCGGGCGCATCTCGGGGGTCATCGTCGTCTTGTGAATGTTGGCTTGATGTTCGCGTCTCCACTCGCAGAACAGCTCAGCTGTCCATTTCGATCCATGTTCGCATTGAAGACCAACATGCCATGAAGAAGGAGAGGAAAGGATGAATGTGTCCAGAGCGTACACCACCAACACCATCATACAACGACCACCACCACGACAACAACAATGGAATCCCTCCACCAAGTCTACCAATCGCATCCCAAGACCTGCCTCTTCACCTCCGCCATCCTCCTCCGTCTGCTGCTCGTCCTCATCTTCCCGGAGCTGCCCGATTTGTTGACGGCGCGGGTGGAAATCTCGACTCCCGTCAGCAGTTTCAAGAGATGTATGTTGATACCTATCAAGAGGAAAAGAGGACATTGGGCAGGAATGAAGCTTCGGAGCTGAGAATATCGTGTCCCATCTAGTACAGGAAGGCCTCTTTTTATACGACCGACGACTGGATCCATACAATGGCGGCATCTTCCATCAGGTCCGTCAGGTTCCCATAATCCTCGTCCTACTTCATTCATTCCTTCCTTGCTGACCTCCATCCGCGATAGGCGCCCTTGTTCCTGCCCCTCTTCTCCCTCCTCCCCGACCCTTCTACCGGCATCGGGAGGATGAGCAGCATTCTCCTCTACTCCGCCCTGGACCTCCTCTCCGCCGACTGCCTCTACGACATTGCCCGGTCCGGTGTGGCCAGCGTGTCCTCCCGATACTCGTCCCCACGAGCCCCACGCAAAYGGGAGGCGGCGTCGATCACGGCCGTCTACCTCTTCAACCCATACACCCTCCTCGCGTGTCTGGGACGACCGACGACCGCCTTCACCACCGCCTTCACTCTCCTCAGCGTCCGTCACGCCTGCCAAGCGAACCTCCCCGCGGCCGCCTTTGCCCTCGCAATCGCCAGCTACATCAGTCTCCATCCCATCCTCCTTCTCCCTCCCATCGGACTGCTCTGCTATGACCGCCTTGCTCATCGACACGCGGAAGAGACGGTGCGCGCCGATGTTGTCGGAGGGGACATTCCTCCCACCTCCAAAGTCGCCGTCGACCAGCGATCCCAACCCCTCCCCATCCCTTTTGCCCTGATTCTTGCCGCGACTTTCGCAGCATCCCTCGTCTTCCTGCTCGCTCTCTCGCGCCTGCTCCTCCCATCGTGGCAATTCATCCCCGCCGTCTACATGACTCCCCTCACCATGCCCGATCTCACTCCAAATCCAGGAGTCTGGTGGTATTTCTTCATTGAAATGTTCGATGCCTTTCGCGAGTTCTTCTTGGGGGTCTTTTGGCTGCACATGCTGGCATACAGCGTGCCCTTCTGCGTGCGGTTCTCAAAGCAACCTCTCGCAGCGGTCGTGTTGATGATGGGCATCATCGCCATCTTCCAACCCTATGCCAATGTAGGAGATGTCGGTGCTTGGTTGAGCTGTCTGTGTTTGTTGGGGCATGTCTTTGAATGTAAGCCCATCTTCCCCAATCTCACCTCCACATTACATCTAATGTCAATGCGCAGTATGCTCCACCTACCGATACACCTTTCCAGCCCTCGCTGCCCTGCTGTATGCCACCCTTCTCGGCCCTGCATTCCACCATCTCTGGATCTACGCAGGGTCCGGAAACGCAAACTTCTTCTACGCCATCACTCWGGTTTGGAGTTTGGCCTTGCTCATCCTGCTCACCGATGCCATCTACGCTGTCCTGCGGGATGAGTGGGAGGTGGAGAGGCCTGATGGGAAGGGCAAGGAAATCAGGCAGATATGACATCCAGCATCAAGGACAAATATACAAAACATTCAACAACATGATTGATCAGGACCGTTAGTTTGTGACATCAAGACCGCACCCTCATGCTCGCTGGATGATGAGAGCAAACCTCCAAACGCAGCAAGCCGTCGAGATCCTCTAAACGTATGAGGGGTCTTGGATAAGACCTGAAACAATATCCGACACGAGAGACKTCATGTGCGAACGGCAGCCCAAACTTTCACGGATCCCGGAAGAGCGCACTGGGGTGGTGCGTTGAATTGGGTGGTGATCAGGAACGTCGGGAAGAGTGCCCAGGAGTGGTACGTTGTATGAGGTGGTGATCTCAGGAACGTCACGTCTGATTCCCCACCGGTGATGAGGTCGGCAAATGCGGCAATTCTTCGTTCGCGCGAAAGATCCCACCTTCTCACCAACGATTATCAGAATCTGATCCGCCATTCACAGTGATTCACTGAAATCCTGCCGCGCTGGTGGGTCATTCATGCACAGGATGGTACGGACAGCTGATCATACTCAACAATTGATATGCACGACAAACATTTCGCCTACTTTCACCAATCCATTAGCTTAGCAGACATGCATTATAATCTGCCGTGGCRTCCAGCGGAAGATTTCGTCTAGAGCACGCGAGCTGACAATTGCCGTTTGAAGGAGGATTAGTGCCTCGCTTACCTCCCCACAGCTCCGGTGTGGTGGTCCGAAGGGTTCATGGAGTTGCGCAACATCTTCATATACTCGTCGTTCGCCCGGGCATAAGAGGAAGAGCAGTACATTGGTACATGGTGACGAAAATACATGCACCCTAATCTACTCCGACTTTYAACGCTTGCGGCAACCAAGTTCAATCTTGATCGACTGGAATGTTCACTCGCCTCATGATAACGATCAATACCCAAGGTTATTTTTCTGCTGTGAAGATTTGCACAATTAGCGATGGACTCTCCAAGCAGTGGCAGCACCTTTGCATCGCGATCTAAATCTCCTCTTGAACAACACCAACAATCGAATTCTCCCACAGATCGAGTCTTTCAATTCATCTCCGACCCCAAACATAGAGAAAACCTCAGCGGAAGAGTGCGAGCAGCATGCGTGACATGCAGGAGGTGAGAAAGTGACGATGAAACACGTAATACAACACTGACATTCCGCTCTGCCACAGAAAGAAGATCAAGTGTTCGGGCGAATTGAACTGTCAGACATGCCGAGAAAAGGGCATAGTCTGCGAAGGACTGCCAGATCGGAAACGACCCAGACGAGCAGAATCCGTGGACATTTCCTGTTCTCCGTCGACTTTCTCGATTCTGGATCCTGTACCGGCTGGAGTAGATCGGATCCGGAGACTGAGTACTTCTGTGGTGAGGAATAGTCTGAAACCACGACCGGCTTCCTTGTTACGATTGGCAAAGGCTATGTCGAGTTGTGATTCTGGGTATGCATCGGTCCCATCACCAGCTCTTGCCGCCAATGAGCCATCTATTATGGGAACGTCACCAACTGAGAGTACTGCGGGAAGAACATCACCGGCTGCTTTACAAGTGGATGTCTGTGGTTCTGCAAGAGAATTATCACCACTAGCTTCACAGGTGGACATCTGGGATCCCGAAACAGCTTCCCAACGCTCATCATCAACACCCAAACCATCATTCAACGAGCAGATGCAAGATCCAAAAGACATGGTAGAAAACGAAGCCGACAAACCTCTCCTGTTAAAAAGATATTCATCCCAAGATGAAATATCATGGTGGAATAAAACGCACCATCGAATTTCTCCCAGCAACACAGATCTCTCCACAGCCGCGCGATTCGTCTTTGGGGATTCCGCACAACCTGTACAAAGTAACCTCCCGAAAGCATCCATGGACTTGGATGGAATGCCAATCATGACATCGCCATCGGGTGAAGAGACGAAAGCGAGAGGAAGCAGGAGGAGAGAAAGCATTCAATTCCCAATCCCCGCACCCAAACCCTTTCTGGGAATCGCAGCAGGAATGCCGACAAGACCAGAGACAGTCGCACCCGTCCAGCAAACGCGATCAACACCCCAAGAAGAATTCGACGCCATGGCACTGCTGCTTCCCATTCCAGTGGATGGAGCAACTCCCTCCTTGGCAATGAATGAAGCGGACATAGCATCCTCCAGCCTAACCAACTCCTCTACCTGGTGGAAAGCCCACAGCGACCTGCACTCTCTCCTCTCTCAAACCGTGAATCCTCTTTCCAACAACAACATAGAGGAGAATGAGAATCCACCACCACCGCCAAGAATAATAATTCCATCCACCACATCTCCTCACCTCCAAAACGCCTCAAGAAAATCAACCACAACAGAAACAAGAACAGAAAACCCCTTCCCTGACTTCAATTCATTAGAGAAWGAACAACAACAACAATCTTCCCCCTATACCTGGTACAATGCCGATTCCGACCTCGTAAACATGCTCCATCAATCATGTGACGTTCTAAACGAACTAGAACACCAGCCTACTCCTACGGGTCTGTCCGCTGAGATTGTATATCCCGCAGCAGTAGAAGAAGAAGAAATAAGTCGGCAAGATGTGGAGGATGTGACGATGACGATGACGATGATGAAGATGATGAGGGAGAGAAAGGCGTCGCCGCTGCTGAGGGGGAGAGTGAAGAGGAGTGAGGTTGTGGGGAATTTCTATTGGTAGTTGAAGAGTCCTCTACTATGGCGAGGAGGAAGAAGGGGGTGGAGAAGAAGAAGAAGAAGAAGAAGAAGAAGTGCAAGAAGTGCAAGAAGTGCAAGAAGTGCAAGAAGTGCAAGAAGTGCAGGTATCATTTCAATCCATGAATAGAGACGGGAATCATCCTTTTATTCACCTCTAGACCTCTAAGAAGTGAACTTTAAATGATGTTTTGTCCTATATAGGTGAATATCAGAACCCTGACAGAGAAAGAATTACGTACTTCAGAAGATTCCAACAAGAACATTTTATAGGGGTAGAGGAAAACGCAAGCCAAGAGTAAGGAGAGAGATACATCTCTCCCTATCTTAATGTCTTTTGCACTTACCCCTATCGCCGTTGTTATATCCTAGAAGAAGGACATACCTTTCGAACGTTACTACCTTTCTATTGGATCAAGAATATGTCTGATTAGTATTCACTCACCTACTCACTCACTCACTCACTCACTCACTCACTCACTCACTCACTCACTCACTCACTCACTCACTCACTCACTCACTCATCAAATAACATTCCCTTTCATCCCTATCCTAAAACTTCAAAAACCATACAACCTTCACATTTAGTAACGAACACCCAAACCAAACAAACATAAGGTACACACATAAGCTAGTCATCTAAAATCCCCCTCTCAAGTCCAAGAAAACCGAGACAGGAAACTCTGTAGCGATTCATCCAGCTCTCTAACAACATTTCAAGCATGATGTAAAAGCTAAACAGTATCGATATGGGAAATCCAAGTAGCTCACCAGAWAGACGCTCTCTTCAAAATGTCAATAAGACTTCATTGGAAACGGGTTCATCCGACTGATAGATTCTCCGCCGAATACAGAAGATCGAGAGCCGTCGAGACTATATATGACATACACGGCACTATCGTCAAGGTAGAGGTGTTCGGGCCAGGATATCATCGGTTGTATTAATAGCTCTGACTACCCATCTCGCTCTGTCTACGTCTGTTGTTTCTTGGCAGATTTGGCTCGTCTCTTCGTCTTTTTCGGCCGTGGTTCCTCAAATTCATCGTCATCACCACCTCCATCATCATCATTATCATCACGATCATCATCGACCGGCACCTCCGCAACAGCCTTCTTCGCCTTCCTCTTCCTCGCTGCCTTGGGAACAGGCTTATCAGACACTGCATCATCAGCAGCGACCATCTGATCCTCCTCGACATTCCCATTCCCTTGCTTCTCCACCAAAACCCCACTCCTCCTCCTCCCCTTGGCCCTCTCCGCCATCCTCTCCAACGCGCTCCCCATCCTCTTACTCCCCTCAACCCTCCGCCTCGCCGCAAACCCCTCCCCTCTCCCTGCTCCACCGACACCAACACCACCATCGAAAAATGCCGTGATATTAGCCTGCGTTCCCTCATCAATCCTCCGATTCATATCCCTAATCACAGGAACCAACACCTCATCGGTCCGCTCTTGACTCCACCCAATGGTAGCCATAAGATACCCCCTCAAAGCCTCGAGATCCGGAACTCCCCATTGAAACCCTTGCGCATCGGAATCAACCTCGGGAGCTTCATATGCAATTTCCACTCGGCGATCCGGAAAGGCAGGAGGGAGAAAGATCTTGCCTGCTTGTCTTCGGAACTTCTTGCGGAAAGGGTTATGGGCATCGTCACTCTTGGGAATACGATTCGCTTGAACACCCTCCCACCAGATTCGAAAGTTGTCCAGGCTTTGAAACTCGGAGATGATTTCCAGCGCAGTTACCGGTCCCACTCCAGGGAGGCCTTCGGTATAATCCGATCCAAGAAGTTGTGCGACGGAAATCAGTTTGTCTCGAGTGAGGTCAAACTCCTTCTCCAAGTCGGATGTCAAGTAGCATTCGACGAATTTGGCTTGATTGAACATGTTCTTGTAGATTCTCGTCCCTCCAAAGAGGAAACAATCGGAATCATCTGTTACAATTCCATCCACCAGCCCAAGTCTCACCAACTCTGCACATTGAGCTTCAGCTTCCATCGGGGCGGTGATATATGGCAATCCGAACAGACCGAGGAGTGCTTGGCATTCTGTGATCATGGTGTGAGTTACTTCGTCCGCATCTCTCCGGTCTTTCTTTTGTTGGTTTCTCAACTGCTTAAGCTCCCTCTCGTAGTCTTGATGATTCTGCGCTTGGGGCTTGTTATTGAGTGTGCTGGCGAAACGGGCATGTTCTWCGGCTTCCAAAGTAAGTGCGCGAAGCATGGCTTCTTCTTCGGGGTCGGAATAGACGTCAAACTCGTCGTCTTCGGCGTCGTCAACATACATTATTACTGGGTCCTCGGCTGGATCAGGTACCTGTGTTGAACTATCAGGTTCTTGCTGTGGTGCGATATCCGCGGTCGGAGCATCAGGTATCGGAACATCTTCAAACTCAACAGAAGGTGATCGTGCTTCCGTCTCCTCTACACGAGGCGACGGCTGTTTGTGAGCGGTTTCTGGCTCGCCATTTCCAGCATCGCTATCACTCCATTCAATCTCTTCCTCGTCTTCTCCAGGTTCTGGCTGTCGAGGTGGACTTGTCGCATGCGTCGCTGCATCGCCACCTACTGGAGACTTTGCGAGAGGCGAATCATCTCCACTGTCCTCTTCGAAGAGCACAGGCCGAATCGCAGCGGCCTCTGTCGTCACAGTCGCGGCTTCGACTTCCTCAACAGCAGGTGGCGCCGGTGGTTCAGCCCGGAAATCGTCCGCCAAGTGGCCGCCCATATTCGGGGCATTTCCTTCCAGGACAGATGGTTGCGACTCCTCGCGATCCACGTTGGTTCCATTGTCCACATCTGCCATATTCACATCATCATGTGCCGACGAAGGTGAACCACCGTCCTCACCATCCAAATCAATGACCTCCCCATTCTGAAACCTTCCACCTTCCTCAGCCTCGAGGTCAATGATCTCCCCAGTATTTCCCCTCCTCAACATCTGACCACTCCCCTTCTCCTCAAACCGGAACTGCTTATTGAAAGCCCTTGCCTTCTCCCGATCCTCGGCCTCAATAGCTTTCTGCGCCTTGATATTACCCTCAAGATCAGCATTGAACCATGGAGGCAACGGTTCTGCTTTCTTCTGCTCCTGCACTCCCATGCCAGGTTTCTCAAATCCACCCGCAACCTCTTCGGTCCGTTGTTTCATCTTCTTCTTCTTCCCCAACAAGGAAGTCCCCAAATCCAGCTTCTCAAAAGGAAGAGGACCACTAAATCCAGCCGCCTTGGCAACATTCTTGGGATCTGTTGCTGCGGGTTTGGGAGCGGACTCTGCCCGGCGAGGCGGGCTAGTCTTGCGTTTTGTCCTCCGACTCTCAGCCAGTGCAGCTCGAAGGTCGATCGTGTCATCCTCTTCACTACTCTCATCAGGCCTGAGCGTTGGGACGCCAAAGGAGGTAACCTCCCGACTCTCCGGAGCAGCATTGAAGGCGCGCTTGTTGACAATGTTTGCAATACTCCTCCCACTACCTTTCGGTAGAGGTCTCGCTTCTTCCGCCGCAGTCTGCTGGAAGACTTCTAGCATGTTATCGTCGCTGTCGTGGTCAGAGCCAGCCGGGCCAGCATCAACACTCTCTCCCAGCGGATTGTCTTTCTGCAGCGACATCTCAATGGCTTTGCGAAGATCTTCATCTTCTTCGGGATCAGCCTCGCCACCAAACAGCTCATCAGTGTTGTCAACCTGTTCCCACTCCTCCTCCTCCGCTAGATCATCCTCTGCCTCGTCCTCGCTACTTTGAATGAATAGCGGGTTTGCCTCCTTGCGGACTTTCCGCTTAGGTTTAGCCTTGACTCCAGATCTCCTGGATTGGTAAACAGCCCGCCTCTGCTGGGTTAGCAGATCGGCCATGTCGTCGTTTCTCGTCCTCTGCTTCGGAAGTCGATTGAGTCCTTCGATGGGGATATCCTCAAAGTCCTCATCGTCCTCTCCATCATCGGTATCTTGAGTCTTGACAACGACGGGCTTGTCGACATCAATCGGTTGCTCCTCTCTGCCCTCCTCACTGATGACTCCCAACGCCCATCCACCTTCCACCCCATCGTTCTTCACCAGCACATATTCCCTCCCCTTCTCTCCCGCAATCCTTCCTCCAGCAAAGTCCATCGTCTCGGATCCGTTGAGATGCATCAAGCGTTGTGTCAGTTCATTCCGCTCTCTGACTCGATCGATTTGGAATTTAGAAAAAGCCATGCGATCGGGAAACATGCTATCCAGCTGTTCCTTGGAATGGCCCATTCTCWGCCGACTCCTCAACCTCGCAGCATTGAGGATATTATAGCGATCCGAAGGCGGCAGACTCATGAAGAAGGGCCCATCATAATCAATTTTGGAGAAATCGTAGACATTGATGTCCTCTCCCGTGTTGAACTGCCTCGCATACTCCTGCAGCTCCTCCAACGACATGACCCTGGGATCGTTTGGACCTCCCATCTCACTCATGCTGACATTCAGATCCGGGAGATGATATGCGTCCTTTTTCCGAAACGTGCGGTTCTGCACCCGCTCCTTGTCCGTCATCTGCAACTCTTCCACATATACCAATCCCTCGTCGGGAACCTCTTCTTCTTCTTCTTCTTCTTCTTGTTGCTGTTGTTGTGGGGCGGGATGTTCCTTCTCCCGCCTCCTCCTTCCCTCGTCCTCTTCCGCCCGCCTCTGCATCTGCTTGGCCAACAACTTCCCCGCCGTCCGCACCGCATCCTCCCTCCTTCCCTCCCTCCGCGCCTTCCGCTTCTGAATCGTCTGTCGCTTCAACGCGGGCGCGCCGCCATCAAACACAAACACCGGCTTGATGCCGAAGAACAACAGTTTACAAATCCTCCGAAAGAATCCCACGACATGACTGTTGCGCAGGGCATTTCCTTCTTTATCGCGCACCGCCTTGAGGAATTGGTAGATCCAGATGCTGGCGTCGACGGCGAGGCGTTTGCGGTTCAATGTTTCGATTTTAATGGGTCGCGCACAGGGCTGCACGATCTGCCAGAGACCTGTGACTCCCATCTTTGATTATCGACTGCAGGTGTTGGGCAGTGTCCAGGCGCATGTTCTCAAAGATTCAATCGAGTCAAGTCAATCAATCAATCTCAATCAATCAATCATCCAAGGTGCATCATGACGCGAAGAAATAACGACACCAGCTCGCGCTGTCACGTGCGGATACATGTAGAGTTGATCATCATCCACAACTAGGTATTATTATAAATTCCGAATTCAATCGTAAGGCCATCATCACAGGCGAATCTCCCTCTTTGGCTAAATATAATACTCCCCTCTCTTCCTTTCTCAACGCAATGCAGTGCCGTGGTATCTCAATCACTTTTCCCTTCCAGCCGTGGACTTCCTGGTAAAAGCACCCTCTACGCCCCAATTCCCAATCCCACCCGCGAAACACTTTCCATCCCTTCCCGTCCCCCGCGCTCTCTCATCCTCCTGCCTTCCATCAATCCTCTCAGTCCCCTCTTCTGCAGCCCCACAACAGCGCTCATGCTTCCATTCCACTCTTCCTGATGCCGGTCCGCTCTCCGACTGAAGCTGTCAGGACCGATGGTGAGCTCCACATCACTCATACTCGAGTCGGTTGCCGCGCTCAATGGCTCGTCATCCGTGTCACTGGCATCCCCCTGGCCGGGTCGCATCGTCTCTCTCGTGCTCCTACCATTGGCCATTTCAGTGTTGATCCTCAGCGCCGAGCTCGTTCGAGAAGTTCCGTTCGCAATGAGTCCGTCAAGACCACCCGCAAGACTCGCCGTGCGGACGGGGATGTCACTCTCGCGAATCGTACGGGTACTTGTGGCGAAATGAATGCTGTCTCCTCCACCGGCCCCCATCGCCGCCGCGTTGAAAATCGCCGCGGCATTGCGACCGTCAAGTGTGTTGTGCAGCCTCTCCACAGTCGCCTCCAACAACCCATCGATCTTGTATGGTCGAGCGAGTTGCAGGAGGGAGCACAGAATTTGGGGCGTTGCAAGCGGGTGAGGGGCGGATGGTAGTGACGAGGTGTAGAGATAGTGAAGGAGTGCGTGGAGGGTCGGCGCGGTGTGAGGCAAGTAGAGCAGTCTCGGCCGGGTGGACGGTGGCGCCGAGCGAGTGTCGGGCACCTCACTGCTGACGCTGTTGTTGGTCAGCGTCGTCGCGCCAGAATTGACCGAAGGCGTGATGGTGATGATTGAGTTGCGCGAGGGATGGTTGGTGTTTGGTCGTAGCGTCGCAGCATCCGTATCGTTAGATGCGATTAGCGATTCCCGTAGCAACGAAATGAAGTGTGGACCCCACCGACGGGATATGAGTCGTGAGTTGACCGGCACTCTCGTCCCGTCAATGGCAAGAAAGTCCATGTCGCACAGCTCGCGGGCGTTGAGGGCCAGCGCGCCAATGTCTTCGGCGGCCGCGCTCAACAGTCGGGAGAAACTCGTGTCATGGGTGGATTGAGATGGAATGGAACTGGCAGATGTGTATCCCGAAGTGGGCTCCGCGGCCTTGGGATTGTCGTACAAGCCAAATGCCTCGAGCTCCACCACACAAATGTTGGAGAAGTTGATGCGTCGGTTGTTGTAGTCGTCGACGAGATTTCTCTTCCGGTTGCCCAGAATCACAAACGAGTTGCGCCGACTCCAGAGCACTCCGCGATTCCAGCTACCTTGGCTGAAGATGCTACCTCCAGCATCAATCCGGCTCCAGGTCAGCGTGCGAAGGTCGRGCGCCCACAATGCATATTCCTGCTTGGAAGAGGTCAAGAACGTCCCCGACACGACAAAATGATTGTCGATGACGCCTCCATTGGGGAAGCGCAGTCCAGGCGGGGAGACAGATGTCTGCATGGGCTTCTCTGTCAGAGTGCCATCGGTAAGTCGCACTTGCAATTCGAGCTTGACGTCAAGAAAGTTGTAGTTGGAGTAGATTAGCATCGGCGCACCAGATCCAATAGTGCTCGTCTCTTCATCATCATCTTCCAGGTCATTTTGCGAGTGAGGCCCAGCTCCAATCTGAGAAGAGGTCATTCCCGTCAGTGGCGTGACCACACTCCTGTAAGCTCCACAGCTTCGGCCCATGCCCGTTGTGCCAGTCCACTTCAAACTGCGAAGGTTGAACACACTGACTTGTTCAATGTAGTGATTTGCGCTATCTTGCCMACCGACGACCACCATCTCCGCGCCACCAGCACCATCCAATGATACCCCGAGAGAACCCTGGCTTGGGTCTGCGCCAGCTGGGTTGTGGCGTACTGCAGACATGGGCGCATTGGCCGAGCTAAAGACGGCGGATGAAGGAAGGATCGTCGCACAATGTGCATATCGCCCCTGTGGTGCATCTGGTGTCGCAATCTTCGTCCAGGATTGTGAAGGAACATCGTAGATGTGAATATCCGACATGACGACCACCTCTGGTTGGGCCTCGGCACTGGCCTCGACCGACGATGGAGACATGCCACCATAACACACCAACTTGGTGTCACCAAGAGCGCAGACACTGTGGAAGTAGCGCGGCGGTGGGATATCTCCCTTGGTCTCCAGCCTCGTCCAGTGTCGTCGGATCAGATCGAGCTCATAGAGATTGGCAGTAAGCTGCGGTTTGGTTCGCGAAAGGCGACGACCGCCAAAGACGTACAACTTGTCCCCAAGTATCGTAGTGCTCGCCCCAACAAGTGGATGAGGTTCTTTACCAGTAGTGCGATGTACATTGCAGACCAGTCCGGACAGGTTGGATGGATTCGCCTCGGGTGCATGCGGGGTTGATGAATCAGCCAGGGCTGGGTCTTGCGATGGGGTGTTGGAGCCAGGCTCATCGTCAGCGGATGCGGTCTCCGCTTCAGAAGCAGACTCATACTCGGATCGCATCCCGACCAAGCTGTTTTGACTGCTGTATGAGCTGAGATTTGTCGTGCTGCCAGTTTCCACCTCACCGGAAGCCAGTCCAGTAGGCGAGGGCTGGGGATCCACCATGCTTTCGGCACTGGCGTCAGGCGTGGCTTGCGCCATCTCAACCGTCGGCCGCGGGATAAATGGGTTGATGAAGTGCGGCGTGTCCGGCGGGGAAGTCTTGCGCTCTGGAATCGCCCAGTTGGGTATCTTTATCTCGACATGCCTTGGTGTGGCTGAGCGGGCAGTGCTGGGTCGAGAATCTGGTGATGAGGGCGCGTTCACCCGGAACGAGTGCGGCGAGCCACTTCCACTGGAATATGAGGCAGATGACCTGCAACAGGTGGGATCGGAGAGCCCTGAAGTGTAAGAATATTGGTTTGGAATGACTATGGGAATGTGCTTCGGGCGTGATGCAAGCTTGCGGGGGGACGCGACACCGGAGAGATCAGTGGAGTTCTTAGGCGAGGCAGCGTCGCCTTCAGTCGAACAAGATTCACGACGTGGAGAAAAAAGAGATCCTCGAGCGCTCGAGATGGACTTTTCACGCGTGAGGGCCACCCAGGCGCGAGCGGATAGTCGATTGGAGCTCTTCCTGGTGGGCTTGACCTTCTTGGCAGGTTTTTGGAACTCCAAAGAGAAATCGTCGTCGAAAGAGAGAGGTTCCAAATGGTACGTCCTATACCGCTCCGCGTGGATTGGACTGATGGGTTCCACGACCGCTGGGTGTCCAAAGATGCCTGAGGAGAAAGACATGGATGGTCAGCTGGGGGCTGAACAGCTCAAAGACGCGGGAGCAAGCAGGTAGGCATTAATATTCAGCGGCAGCTTCGGGTGGAGGGGTAGGATAAAGTAAGATGCAGTGCAGATTTGACAATGAAGGGAATATGATGATGATGATCATGGGGAAGCAGGAGAGACGCAAATAATCGTCTCTCATGCGCACCGTGCCACGTGTGAAATCGTCGTGACATCGGCTCACACCCTCGCATTAGGGTTGAATGAGTGGGCGAGGGATCGGTGGCGGCGGAAGGCCGTTGAGCGGCCAGCCGCATGCACAGAATCCATGATTCCATGCCGTCGGATGTGTTTGAGCGGAGGGTTTGGTGTTCCGCGAGGGATATTGTAGAGAGGAGTTGAGACCCTCGCAGGATGGGGATTGGTGGAACGCTAATGTGGCAATGGCAGTCTAGGGATTGCTCACCTGAATGGGATTGGTCGCGGCCTTTGGGATGTCTCTGCGGGCGCTGTAGAGGACGCCGTCGGGTCTTTGCGAAGAGGTGCAGTGTGCAGTCGTGGTTTGCTTTGTCCGGCTGCAAAGACCCGCTTCCGCGTCCGAAACGGGTTGGTCTAGCCGCATACAGACGCAAAAGGCAAATGCCATCTTCTACGCATGCCAGCCACAGCTGCAAGTATCACTCTTTGAGAGTCTTCTCCACATCTCGCCTACGCTCGTCGACCTCATACCACAGATGCCCCAATCTATTAGCGTTTCGAGACGGGCAATTGTACTTCAAAGTTCAAGCCGCCGCCAATCTTATCGTGAACCTGCTCACCCAATACAACGGAAATTTGAACACGGCAACGTACAGCAGTTCGCACATGCCATTCCGCTCTGCTGTCCAATCTACCACAAACATGCCATTTGGCACTGCTGCCCATTCTACCGTGAACATGTCATTCGGCTCTGCTGTCCATTCTACCACGAACGGCTGTTCATTCTACCATGTACATGGCACCTTGCCGTTGAGCAGAGATTAAAACAATTAGCCCGTGAAAGGGCGAGGCGAAAGTCATCATCTCGGAGTCCTGCAGAGCCAAGGATTCCATCTCAGTCCACCTCTGCAGACGGGGAGGATCCGGACCACGCTCTCTCCAACGGGATCTTCTGGAACGTCGTTGCAGTACCCACCCGGGGGCTAGTCTAGTCTACCAGTGTTGACAAACGTTTTGAACAACCACGCCAWGCCAAGTCAGCATCCGCATCGACTTGCCTTGTGATCGCGATGGAGGCAAGCGAGGTGCACGTTGCTGTTTCATATCGTGTCTCCCAGCCCGTCCAGCGCAAGGCGTAGTCTCGCACACCTACTTGTCTCAGCAAGTTGCGTCATTCCCAATCTTTCATCATGGAGACCGTTGCGCACATCCATGGAGGCCCGACTCTAGATCCCAACAGTCTGCCTTCCAGATGCAACGTGCGCGATGCCGTTGAGACACGCATGCCGTTGCATGGTCGAACGTGCAACGTTGTAGGGGAAATTCAGGTATCATAAAGACATTTCATACTGCCATACATAATTCGCTGACGAATCCCGGGTATCTTGACGATTTTGCCTCAGTACCCTGTATCAGAGACTTTTCTCCCCCATTCATTCTCCCATGCATCCATGAATATCATTTGCTGCAGTCAAACAGCAGCAGAGGTCTCGCTCTTGGGGAGAGGGGTGAAGCGAAGGTATGGCTTGACGACCTGCATCTTGGGGAAGAGCTTCTCGGCCTCTTCGCCCTTGACGCTGGGGTGGACAATCACATCGTCACCTGGAACCCAGTTGATTGGGGTGGTGACGCGGTGCTTGTCGCCAGTCTGGAGAGAGTCGACAACGCGGAGAACCTCGGCGGTGTTGCGGCCGGTCGAGGCTGGGTAGGAGAGGATCAGACGGATGGTCTTCTTTGGGTCGATGACGAAGACTGGAAAGTGCGGTCAGTCAATGTCTCATCCTTGACACTCATCAATCCTCACCAGATCGGATGGTGAAAGCAATGCCCTTTGCATCAACGTTGGTGGCGTCCTGCTGGTCAATCCTGGATTGCACATGTCAGCAAGCGTTTTCACTCTTCAATCTTTCCATCCCTTACATGTCGTAGGCGAGGGCAACCTTGCGCTCCTTGTCACCGATGATTGGGAAGCGGAGGTTGCTGCCAGAGATCTCGTTGATATCCTTGATCCAGCCGCCGTGGCTCTCAATGGTGTTGGCGCTCAGGCCGATGAGCTTCACACCACGCTTGGTGAACTCTGGCTCGAGCTTTGCAAAGGCGCCGAGCTCGGTTGTGCAGACTGGGGTGTAGTCCTCTGGGTGGGAGAAGAGGACGACCCACTTGTCGCCGATGAACTCGTGGAAGTTGATGGGGCCGTTGGTGGTCTCGGCGTCGAAGTTGGGGGCAATGCTGCCGAGGCGAAGAGGTGCGGCCGACATGATGTGCAGGTGTGTTGTGGAGGAGGTGCAGGAAAAGTGTGGTGAGATGGAAGACGCGACTGATGAGGTGATGCAGTGGGAAGAAAGAAAAGTGTTGTGTTTGCTGATTACAATTCTAGAACAGCACGCCATCGTTTAGGGTGGGGTCGATTTTGCCCCGCCGCTTGGAATTGTTTTGCTGAGCAATGCTGACAAGACAAAGCTCTGCTCTTCCATCATCACAAAGACGTCGCCAGATTTGTCGTRCCAGCTCGTTGGGGGGCCCAAAATGGATTGCATATCGACCAACCATTGCACTCGGTCACCGACATGCTACCTACCTTACCTTACCTCATCGAGCGTTTAAACAGCAACCACCAGCCACGGTATTGTCTGCGCGGATAAACGTTCAACAGGGAACTTGCTCGCTTATTGCTCACTCACTCACTCCTCACTCACTCACTCATTCACACACTCCTCACTCACTCATTCACTCATTCACTCACTCCTTTACTCAAAGTGATGCCAAATCGAAGGCGACGCAGCCAAGTCACAATCGACGCAAGCTTCTTCGATACAACCGTCTCTGTCCCGGTATCGGAGGACAACATGTAGACACGGGTGACAGCATTGCTACCGATGCCACGGTAAGCGGTTGTGTATACATGGCACAACCGGATCGAAGTCATACAATCCCTATCTTCGTCCGAGTACTCAGATTACCTTTGAAGGTCGATGTTTGATGGTGGATGGATGCACGGCATTGTCAAAGAGCCTCCCGGGCGAAACTCGGAGCCGAATGATAGGTAGGGTAAGCCAATCATAGGGCCGCCTTTTTACGCCCTTTGTTCCATTACCGCCATCACACGCTGTGACGACACATCACGATCAGCAGAAAGCGCCGGGCCGGCAAGCGGTGTCGACTTGGAGCATCACTTTGGAGGACCGAACACGGCGAATCCGACGAGGGAAGAAACGACATGAGGTGGTGATGGATTGACAGCTCCGTTCATCGGACCTTCCTTGCCGTGTGAACCGCGTGCATATGCAAAGAATGGAAAGGCTCCGCTCGTCCACATGGCCGCGGGTATTTTAGAGTACCTGTACCTCTAAAAAGGTAGTAGGTTGCGGTTACGTCGATCTTCAACAATCTGCGCAATGACTATGACTGTTGCGTTGTTTTTCTTACATCTCTTGTCCTCTGCTTGAAGAATCGCTCCATACCTCACCTCCGTCCTTGCCTCTCCACGACTGGACATGCCTCGTCCGACATGGCGTGCCCTGAGATCCACCTTCCTCGTACAACATCCCAAGTCATAGACTCAAACTCAAACTCAAACTCGGACATTGCAAATGAAGAAGCAGAGAAGCAGAACAACTCCTCCAGAAGCAGCATAGAACAGTCGCATGGCAATCACGACCCGCACGGAGACATCACCTATCATTATCTGGAATTCGAAACCGCATTGCCCTCGCCAAGCCTCATACAATCACACTCCACCTCAAACGATCAAACACCTCCAGAATGTCCCGACCTGAAGAAATACACTTCGCCTTTTCTATGGTCCAAAACACGCAAGAACCTCATGATAACTCTATCATGTCTGGTCACCTCCATCGCTGCGTACAACGCCGGCGCATACAGTCCAGGAGTGCAACAAATGTCGGATGAGTGGCATAAAGGAAGAGTCGCAGTCCTTGCTGGCATTACAACATTTACGGTAGGCTTTGGAATCGCTCCCATGTTTCTCGCGCCTTTTTCGGAATTGAATGGTAGAAGGCCTGTGTTTGTAGTGACGGGAATTGTAAGAGGATACCACTCATACGAGAAAGATGTGCTGAAAATGCTGATGGTCCCTGCAGCTTTTTGTCATCTTTCAAGCAGTATGCGCCGTGACGCCTACTTATGCTGGTATGATCGTGACGAGATTCCTTACCGGCTGCATGAGTAGCACATTCAGCACCATGGTGGGAGGGGTCGTGAGTGACATTTACCACGCAAAGGATAGGAACACTGCCATGACCCTCTTCTCTGCCTTTGCTCTGTTTGGCACTGGATTCGGACCATTCATTAGCGGCTTTATTGCATACAATACAACTTGGAGATGGTGAGTATGCGAGGACATTTGCTAATTGAAAGCGATTCCTGATCTCTTCCCCTAGGATCTTCTACCTGCAGACAATCTTCGATGGCGTAATAGTGAGTTGTCYAATCACTCCTTCCTCCTCGCAACGACACTGAGATTTGACAGATGGTTTTTGTCGTGTTCTTCTTCAAGGAGACGCGAGGTTCCGTTCTTCTCTCTCGCAAAGCCAAAGCCCTGAACAAGTGGTATGAAAGTCTCGAAGACGCCGGCTACTACGGTGTCACCATGCCTGAAGCCGAGAAAGGCACCTCTCAACGGATTCGTTGGAAGGTCAAGTCCGATGAAGAACGAAGCAGTCTCGTAACAATGATCAAAATAAGTCTTCACAGACCCTTCCACATGCTCTGTTTGTCTCGACCATTTTCACCCCGACAACTGAATGAAACTGATGAACCTCAAGTCACAGAACCAGTCGTGGCATTCTTCTCCCTCTGGATCTCCTTTAGCTGGGGAGTCCTCTACATGACCTTGACGGCCATCCCACTAATCTTCCAAACAACCTACGGCTTCAACCTCGAACAAGCAGGAGCCGTCTTCGCCGCCATCAGTCTCGCCAGCATTCTCTTCACTCCCGTGGCGGTCTATCAAGAAGCGCTTCTGAAACCCTACCTCCCCGCCAAACATCAAGCAATCTTCGATACTCCCGAAGGAAGACTATACTTTGCGTGCGTGGAATCCGCGTTATTACCCATAGGCTGCATTTGGTTTTGCGTCACGGGAGCATATCCCTCCATTCCCTGGATAGTCCCTGCATTGGGCATCGGATGTGCCACAATGGGCATCTTTAGCATTTACCTCGCCGTCTTCAACTATCTTGCCGATTCCTACCATAGATATGCATCCAGTGCCTTGGCAGCACAGAGCTTTTGTCGAAATGTATWGGCCGGAGCATTTCCTCTGTAAGTCTTTCCTTCTCTCCAAAAACCTCTCCAACTGACACATCGACCCAGTTTCACGACCCAAATGTACAACACCATGACATTTCAAGGCGCAGGCGGATTTCTCGGAGGAACAGGCTTCCTTCTGACGGTCGTGCCTTGGGTGCTTTTACTCTACGGACCACAAATCCGAGCACGAAGCAAACTAGCGAGCGAGATTATGAAGACTTAATTAGACTCTCTGTTACGGAGAAGAGTACAGAGCAAGGGGAAAGCAGCTATGAGATACCCAAAACAAAAGAACGCAGAACTCCAAGAGTGACTTGGCAATCATCTCATCATGCCTCTGACAGATCCTCATACTCCTCCTCAACCATACATCGGCCTCTCGCCTTCACCGCGACGAAGGCCTCGAGCTCTCTTGAACGGGATTTCATGAATCGGCTCCGGTGCCGGACGCTTCTGGCGTGGTGGTGGAACACTCTTCCCAGCCTTGTACTGTTTAGCAGCCCGCCTGATCTCCTCCCTATAACTCTCATCCACCTCCGGCAACTCCCACATCGAAGTGAGCTTCTTGGCCCTTTCAGCCTCTTTGGCCGCGACTTTGGTGGGGCTCAGTCCAGTGAGGGATCCGAGCCTCTGACCAATCCCTTTGATGCCGCTGATAAGCCCAGTGCCCGCAGCAGGAGTATCATCATCTTCGTGGTCTACATCACCTCAAAGTCAGTATACATCACCACTCACGCAAGGTAGGATGCAAGACGACTTACTCCTCGCAAGATCGGCATTGATCTGATCGCTCACAACTCTCGCCATGAAAGGTGTCTCTCCAAAGGGGAAAACAGGCGGCATACGACGATGCCAGACCTCGGGAGCSGGCATGCTTTCGAAGAAGTTGTTGTCCTGAATTTCAATCTTTCCATTCATGTTGACCWCGATTTTCTCGGGATTCTGGCTCGAGACCAAATGTCCACGTCCGGGTTCCCTCACCGGAGCGACATCAACGGACGGAGCAATGGAAGGTCTTCTAACCCCCGGCAGTCTTCCAGGAGATTGTTGCACAGTTTGTTGTTGAAGCTTGGCAGGAGACTGAGACCTAGTATGCGAGTGGGGTTTGGCCGGCGACTGAGCACGGCTGGAAGTAGCGCGCTTTCCAGGAGATTGAGCTCTGGTGTTCCTTCCAAGTTTCGTAGCAACAGCAGTTGGCACCGGTCCCTCACCCGCCGCCTCTCGTCTCACATGTTCCTTCATGGCCGCCTGCACTCCTCTCTCTTGAGCAATGAGAGCTTCCCTCAGGTCCACCGACAGGCTACGCGAAGAAGGCATTGGCGGTGGCACTCCTGCCATCATGGAATCGAAAGCAGCCTGCTCAAAAGCCGTCAAAGTTTTGATTTCGTCGGTAGCTCCGGTGTATGGAGATCTGTCTCCACCAGCGGAAGCTCCCTYGGCGAATGATCGGGACCTTGCACTGCGGGATGAAGAAGTACCTGCGAGAGGTTGGGCCTTGGAGACTCTGCTTGGTCCGGCAGTCAGACCTGCGGAGTCACGGGCGAAAGCGGGCGCTCGACTCTTCTTTAGCCCTTCACGCACTGGCCTGGACATGGAAGTCTCTGAAATCTCCCTTACGACAGCCGCGCGGCCGGCAGGTGCCCTCAAACGCCTGCGATGGGCTGGTTCCTTGGATGGCGGTTCTCTGTCAGAATATGCGACACCATATCTGATGGTGCCAGGGGATAATTCGAAGGGGTACTGATCGTCCTCATTCCTGCGGACGTACATGTCGAAGAATCTCCAGTAAATCTTGGTGTGGCAGTTAAGCGGAACACCCTTCGCAGCGGCATCTTTTTCCAGGCGTTTAATTTCGACGCCCTGGTTTACAGCCCTGTGATCATCGGCTTCCTCCATACGATTAATGGCTTGGATCATGAACTTGTCCACTTGGGTCAGAGAACGCTTATCGAAGAGGGCAAGCATCTCCTCGGTAGGCTGCGTTGGGTCATCATCGTTATCATTCTCTCCGAGCAATCCACGTTTGTAAAGAATAGACCTGGTGGGAGGAGGTTCGTCCGGTGCGGCAGTGGCGCCTCTGGTGGCACGCGTCATGGCAGTCTTGTAAACGGCAGTCTTCTCCGGAGATGCCGCCTTTTTGGGAGATGTCGCCTTTTTGGGAGATGCTTTCTGGACACCGGCTTCTTTGACGGGAGACTTCGCCCTTGCGGCACTGGCCTTCCTGGTGGCAGCGGTACCTTTAGCAGGAGACACGGGCTTTTTGCTTCCTTTGGGAGGCATGATGACGGATGATTGTCAGAACAAAGAAGAGCGATTGTGAAGAGGTTTGCACAGAACGTCTTGCGTTGAAAGAGGAGGTGAAGTGAGAGCGTGGAAGGAAGTGGAGTGAGTTTCTGGTGTGTAAACAAAGGAAATACCACAATTTCGCGCTGGAATGTGGCATTCACAGCTTACCGTGTCTGTTTGCGTAACATCTCAATTCTGGCCTCCTGTCTTGAATGTACAAACGTGGCGAGCCAGGATCCGAGATCTTCGACAACATCTCAATGTCGTGCATTCATTCGTGGTGACTCTGCCATGAGAGCATGTGGAATGCAATCTGGTATCATCGAGGCAATGATTCCATCAATGTCATGGTTGGTTCCGGCAACAGACAATGCCTCATTATGAGCATATCATCGAGGCAATGATTCCATCAATGTCATGGTTGGTTCCGGCAACAGACAATGCCTCATTATGAGCATATCGAGGTGCGCTGGGTCCAGACTAATTGGAATAGATCCATTAGTCCGATGTATGTTGTGCGTTCGCTGCCACTATGTCATCAACATGGTCCGAGGCTCAAATAATTGCAGCAACGAGCGAGTGAGCTGTCAGAATCCACTGTTCAGGACATGTGATCGACACGGCCTTAGGTTGCCGCGATGTTCTCAAATCAGCCATGCCGCCGGCACAAGCCAAGCCCAGTCCAAGCTCTGTCCTCGTGAGATGGCACACCGCAAATAGAAGGTCAAACTCAGATGTGGGACTGGACACGTCAAGTACGTAGGTATCGTGGCCTGCGCACCTTCACCGTCAAATGCGAAGGAATCGACCCGAGAGCTTGTAGTGTGCCAAGCCTCGACAAGAGTCCACATGCTCTCTCGGCGTGACGCCATGGTTGTCTCTTGACCGTCGACGTGGATGGTGGTTGGTGATGGTGGTGGTGGGTGTGGTGAAAACAACCAGAGAGCCGATTCACTGTGCGGGGAAGGAAGGAGTGGAGCCGGAGAAATCCCGATGTGGACCGCGCATGTTTGAGACCTGAGGCTGAGACTCGTCCTCCGCATCATCAACCTCACAGGAAGTTAACTTACATGAAGGGTCGACCACAGCTACCTTATTATTGGATGTGGCATCCTGCTCAGAGACTATCTCCTCCGCTGGCAATATCCATGGTTCAAATGCGCAAGTCTCGAAAACTTCCTCCCGCGCGGTAGCCATCGAATACCACCACTTCCCATCTCCCTCCCTTCTAGGACTAGATGTAGGCAATCGGCGCGGCCGCCCCGTCACGCCCACTCAAAGTGAATGATCCATCCATCCTCTAGGTGGYAGCCCCAGTGCGGAGGATCGACAAGCTGCCCGCACCGGTTCCTTGCATTGGCGTGGCTCTAGGCACGCTGAAAGTGGCATGTGCCATCGTTCGGCCTGCCCTTCTGCTGGCGGAGTCACGCATGATGCCGTGTTGCCCGCGTGCTCTCCGTTACATCGCGTGTGCGAAAATACACCCCCCTCGATCGTCTCTGGGCCTATCATTTCTGCGAAGCTTGGTCCGCTGGACCACTAGGGTCAGATTTAACCTTGGACTCGACCAGCGGACCTGATGCCAGTGTGAAATTGCGGCATCTGGCAGTGATCTGCAGTTCGTAAACATGCTATAAGGTCGACTGTGTTTGTCGTCGACGACGAATAGGTAGGAGCTGTGGGTTCCATATTATTCATACACCATGCATTTTACTCCCTCACTACTCATCGCGGGCCTGGCCACTTTGGCTTCGGTCTCGGCACAGTCGTCCAGCTTCAAGCCTGTGCGACCACCTGCGATTCCCTTGGCCGTCAAATCGCCATATATGAGCACTTGGCAGCAAGCGGGCGGACCAGGAAATGGAGGTTACCTCGTACGTGTGATCTTCTCATTTGTACATTGAACTCCGCTAACCATTTCTTCGTTCATAGGCTGGGCAATGGCCTACCTTCTGGCAGGGTCAAGTCACCGCATGGACTGGTGGGTGTACACAAATAGTTTGATGATGCCGTGCTCACTCATATTACCAGGCATGATACGCGTGGACAATGCAACATACACCTGGTAAGCGGCGAGTCTTCAAAGCAGACAAGATGACGAACTAATGCCATCAGGATGGGAGAWCCGAACCCTTCACCAAGCTACGTCGTTCAGGTGAGTACATTCCACTCAAACGAAAATCAATCCCTAATACATCATGCAGACTGGCTATGAATACACGTCTACCCGATCTATATTCACTTTGACCGCCGGACCAGTACAGATGAAAGTCACATTTCTTTCCGGCGTAACTCCAGACGATCTTTTGCGATCTTCCTTGCCCTACAGCTACATGGATGTTGAGGTCACATCGACCGACGGTGCTCAACACAGCGTGCAACTCTATTCGGACATCTCCGCCGAATGGGTTTCCGGCGATCGTAGCGCAACAGCGCAATGGGAGTACGGCAACATTGCTGCGCAGTCACAAGCCAGTCCAAAGGCCTTTTCCCCAGCGATCAGCGCGGTGTCAACTTTCCAAAGGGCCACCACATATGCCACTCAGACTGCCTTCACTGCCGTTCCAGTCGTGGCTCACACCCAGAGGCCGATATATGCAAGCGGTCAGGGAGAGCGACCGACCCCATCCCAGGACGCTGCTCAAGCCACCTACTCGCCGATCAAGATCAACGCTGTTACAGCCTCAGACGGTATTGCTTACCACAAAGTCTACCGACAGCAGCAACTGGAGTTTAGTCAAGTAACGGAGCAGGCGGAGTGGGGCAATTGGTACTTTGCGACGAAGAACACCACCGGCCTGACGTTCCAGTCTGGCGCGGACATCGATGTACGAGGCAACTTCATGAGAAGTGGTGTTTTGCCCAACTCGCAGGACACAAACTATCGTCCTATCAACCAACAGTATCCCGTATTTGGATACGCAGTTGATCTCGGTCAAGTCGGTTCCGAGGCTCAAAACACACTCTTTCAAATGAGTCTCCATCAAGAGAACTGCATTCAATTCCAAGGTGAAGGAGGTGTCGTTTCGAAGTTGCCATGCATGTGGACCAACTACTTCTCAAAGGAGACGGATGCAGTGAGTTGACCCAAATCCTTCACACACGTGCATTACTAACTATGAACAGCTTGAATTCTTCTACAACGACTACTCAACCGCGAGCTCAATGGCCTCTAGTCTGGATTCTCAAATCTCAAGCGATTCTGCAGCCGCAGGCGGCGCAAACTACGCCACTTTGACCTCTCTCGCAACACGACAGGCTTTTGCCGCCATCTCATACGTCAACACGCCTGCCGAACCCCTGTTATTCATGAAAGAGATCTCCTCTGACGGCAACGTCAACACCGTGGACGTCATCTTCCCATTCCATCCCATCGCGATATWCGCAAACGTTACCCTTCTTAAATGGCTTCTCGATCCTCTATTCATCAACCAAGAAGGAGGGAACTGGCCCAACAAGTATTCCATCCATGACATTGGTGCCAACTTCCCAAACGCCACAGGCCATTCAGATGGCCAAGCAGAAGCTCAACCGTTGGAAGAATGCGGCAACATGTTGATCATGACTCTCGCATACGCACAGCGTGCAAACGACAACGCCTATCTGACCCAGCACTACCAAATCCTCAAACAGTGGACTGGATACCTCATTGACGAAGCCTTGATCCCCGCCGACCAAATCTCCACCGACGACTTTGCCGGTTCAGCAGTCAACCAGACCAATCTCGCAATCAAAGGTATAATCGGGATAGAAGCCATGGCCCAGATCGCCAACAGGACAGGCAATGCAGCAGATGGCGCAAACTACACGGCCATCGCCCACGACTACATTACCAAATGGCAGCAACTGGGAATCAACTACGATGCCAACCCACCGCACACCACCTTCCAATACGGAAATCAAGAATCCTACTCCCTCCTCTACAACCTCTTTGGAGATAGAGAGTTGGGTCTGGAATTGGTCCCGCAAAGCGTCTATGACATGCAAAGCACCTTTTACGCCACGAAATTCAAGAAATACGGTGTACCTCTCGACACCCGCCATCCAGATGGCTACACCAAGAGTAAGTCTCTTTCATATGTGTACAAAATAACAAGCAACGAGAAATGGTCCTAACATGTTTCAGATGATTGGGAGATGTTCTGCGCCGCAATAGCCAGCCCCGAGACGAGGGACATGTTCACCGCCGCGATAGTGAAATGGGTCGGGGAGACGACGACCAACTTTGCGTTTACGGATCTTTATGGCTCAGATGAGACGGGATACCCGGGCATCACATTTATCGATCGCCCGGTAGTCGGTGGCTTATTTGCGATTTTGGCTTTGAATGGCGCGCCGGAGAGTGGGTATGTTACTCCTTCGTGATTGGAATAAGGAAGTGGCAGAATAGGCACATCGTCTTTCTGCTCACTCAACTGGCAAATCAGTATCGGTAGTCAGCGTGTACAGAGCATCTCACATTCCATGTCAATCTTCTCTTGGACAGCTATAAAATTCTTCACCACATGAGTTTCCATCTCCTTGAACGCCGCGCTAAGCATGCTCCATGCAACAATCCCATCAAATGCCTCAGTACGCTCCACGACGTATCAGCCTCACTTCGCCGTCGATGGAGGCACCAGAAATGCCTTACTCTCCTCCGCTGTCACCTTACTTGCAACAGCCTCATCACTTGTAATCAACCCCAACTTCCCCACCCGAATCTTGTACCACATGAAATTCCGGTCCCCATTCAACTCCCCTCCAAAAATCTTCTTCTTCAAATCTTTCATGAACTCGTTAAAGATATCCGGCTCTTCAAACTCAACCAGCTCCTCTCTCATGACAAGAATCGCTTCCACGGCCTGCCCATACTTGGAATCCCCGACCGAATGTCGAATCCAATCAACGATGATGTTCCCGTATTGCTTGCAAACATCCTTGATCTCGTCCATTTCGCTGCCATCCTCAAAGACCTGTTTGAACTCGGCAATGGCGTTCTTGGGATCGATTCGTCGGCCTTTGCCTTTGCGACCAGGAGCTTGAGCGAGAAGAGCTGCGACGTCCAGATTGGAGAGAGGCGCAGGAGCAGCTTTGCGATTCCATCTCTTTCCCTTGGTCTTTGGAGGCACCTTTTTGACTTGGCCGACTTCAATGACACGATCCAGAGCCGCTTTGGCCTTCTTCACGAGTTCCTCTGGCGGGTTGGAGAACTTTCCTATGATGGGAAATGRTGCAGGTGGATCCGCCTCGGGGAACACTGCTCGGTGTCTGATGACTTGCTGAATCCGGTGRAGCTTCGGATTGAAGGTCTCCTCTATGGGTACGTAGTCGGCCGGCTCGCCTTCGTCGTCAATCGCGGCTTTTGAGAGGTCCATGTTGTCAACGTATTCGCTCATAGCGTCCAGCAGCTCTTCACTTGGGAGGTTTCGATGGGCTTGGACTTCCTTTCCGCTGACGGTCAGGACACGATTGAGAGGCGGGAACTTGTAGCTTCGGACATCTTCTGCAAAGGGAAGTTCAACATCGTAGAGGCACTCAAATTCCGGTTCGATGTTGGGCGCGAGTAAGAGCATTTTTGGCTCCTTGTTGTCCTTTGCGACGAATCGTGCAACTGCATAGGAGTCGAGCTCGTACAATGCATGTATGAATGAAGAAAGCGCCAGCGATGCCTTGTCGTTTAGCTTCTGAGCGATGATCATGTTGGCCTTGGACATGTCAAGGAATCGATGATACTGTTCGTTGTCAGCGATTTCCAGCACCCTGAAAGAGTGACTCTACCTGTTTCTTGTCCACAAAGCCGACAATGTCAAGTCCTGGTGTGGTCTCAAACATCGTGACATTCCGATCGCTCTCAGCAATGTGGACGGCAGTTCTGCCGTATTCATAGCCCTTGGACAGCTCTTCGAGCGGAATTTCTCTCTTTCCGCCGGCACCTTCCTCATCTTCAATCATGTAKGTAGTTGAACGGTGGACCGCATCCAAACCGTCACCATTCTGTTGAGTCCCACCTCCTCCGTCCGCAGGCGACGCAGAGCTCTGTGTTGCATCGTGAGCACCGGTTCGCACAACAAACTTGCTGGCGCTGGGCGCTGCTGCCTGCATAGTCTTGGGGTATCGCTCAACATCAATAGTCATAGCATCCTCATACTGTTCGGCGTTTCCTAGCGTGAGGAAGCCTTTGTATGAGGGCGTTGGATTTGTGGACTTGGTCCGCGGCTTCTCCAATTCATCGATGGCTTCTGCAAGAGTTCCAAATTGGCCGTTGCAGTCTTCGCACAGCTGTTTGAGCACCGCTTCGTTGGCTGCCTTGGTGTCGTCTTTGTCATCTTCCGTGAAGCCGTACTCGACATCATCAAAGTCGACACCCAGCACGACAAGCTCTATTTGATCGGCATTGATCTCTTTGGTGATCTGCGATAGATCGTCCGTGTCCATTGCTCCACGGGCGTCTGTGACAAGCACAATCTTGCGCATGTACTTCAACTGTGATTATCGCTGTTAGCGAGATCTCCGAAAGAGGTGGAAACAGCGAATCAGGATGTCACGCAGAATCGCTTGCCTTTTTGCAAGTTTCCTTGATCATTTGAATGGCAATGACCAGAGCGGACACGGCATCACCGACGTCGTTTCGACTTTGAACAATCTCGCTGCTCAACCGCCGGACGTCCGACATTACGACTTGGCTGATGGGATGAAGAATGCTGATATGTTCGTATTCCTCTCCGTCGAGGTCATTCTTCGTGTCGTCTGAACGAAGCGCCACAACAGCTGCGGACTATCAGCCTTTCCGCCTGGAAGAGACACACGTGACTGCACCAGACTGACCGGACATTGCCGTTTTTCGATTAGTAGCGACTGTGGTTGTGATCTTGTCCCAGATGTATTCCATAGCGAACTCGAGATTTGTTTGTACCCGTCCATGGCTTCGCTCTCCCATCGTTCTGCCGACATCGATGATGTAGACAGTTGCCTCCTTTTGCGTCGCCATGTTGAAAAAGAGGGTGGGTGATGAAGATGTTGTCTCGAAGGAGAATGACTTGAAGTGAAGCCGGCCTGGAGTGGAGCCTGGCGCGTCCAGGCACCCATCACGAACCTGCCGCGCTAGCACGGGGAGGAGGAAGCGCATCTTTTCATCATCAACATCATCTTCGACACCAAGTCATTCCTTTGAATCCTTGTCGTACGATGGAGGAACGCATCTCCGGCTATGATTTCGGGATGAGAGCGTCCGGGAGACGCTCTAGATAGCGTCCTTTTCGACCCTCATATGAGCTGTGCTCATTGGTGACATTCGCACCCTCACAACCTCAGAATCTAGTTGGAACGGAGATCCGACGGGAACATAGCAGTTCTCACCCCATCATGCCATTTGAAGAACGGGCTCGCCACCATACCCGTTATMAGAAATGAATCCGGACTCATAGACTACAACGCTATCACACCAAATGGCCGCGAGCCCATCGCTACTCTTCTTGACTCTCCCCATCATTTCGCAGACCTTCTCGGAGCCCTGACCTTCTCCAAGTCCTTGCCCTTGCTGATTGCGTTTACCAAGAACGAATAGGGCAGTAAGCTGGAGACCCAGCTCAGCAAGGATGCCTGCCTACCCCTCCAGATCTTGCCGCTCTTCCCTGCTACGATATCATTGGCAACGGCACGAGCGGTGACATTGACCGGCTGCGAATTGGTTTTCTTCTCTCCTCGGTTCACCGCACTAATGACATCCTTTACAGACTTGTAGTAAGATGTTTCCGGCAGCTCCAAGTCTCCCGAATTCTGGTGAATGGGAGTCTCTACTGCACCGATCATCGCAGTGWCAACTCGAACACCCAGAGGTTGCAACTCCAAGCGAAGAGTCTCGGAGATCATGACGGCGGCTGATTTGGAAGTGCAGTAGACGCCTGCATGGTTCAACGCAATCAGCATCACGAACAGCAACAGATGATTGTGGATCAACTCACCAGACCACGGAAATGGGCCTACCGCCATGATGGAAGCTATATTACAAATGCAACCTTTGGTCTCGATCAACATCGGCGTAAACTTTTGCGTCATGGTAAGAATGCTCCAAACATTCAGATCAAAAAGCTTTCTCGCGGCCTGGACATCGACATCCAACAGTGGCATCACGAAGTCGGCCCCGGCATTGTTAATCAACACGTCCAGTGTGCCGCCCGTTCGTTCTTCAACGAGGCGGGCACATTTATCGATGGACTCCTGCGATGTGACTTCCAGCTCGAGGATCTCAATCCCAGATGTGGCGGCCAGGCTCCCGGCCTTGGAAGTGTTTCGCAGAGTCGCAAAAACATGATAATTGTGCGCGACGAATGCACGAGCGAGGGCTGCGCCAATGCCGCCCTCACTACAGCCGGTGATGAGGACCGTTTTCTTGTCGATGGCCATTTTCAAAGAACTTGTTGGAGAATTGAGGAAGTTGTCAAGAGTGGACGGCACAGTGTCTGCACTGTCGACTACCTGTTATATCTATCAAARCGCGATTTGTTGATGATGATTGAGCATTTGAAAGCAGCGCCAGTATGCCTAGGCTTAGCGGCGGGGGATCGGTAGAACTAATGTCTCCGAACGATTGATTACTCATGAAAGTGAAGGGATCTACGATGTGCAGATCCGCACGCTCACATGTGATGATCTCACCACTCACCTCTCATTCAATAGGTTATATTGAGGAAGTGGTCGAGTTTGTGCCATCCATCGAACATCATTGACAAAACAGCTTTGTTTGTATCAAACCCAGACGTTTCGTAAGCCCAAGAACAACAGCCTCATAACTCACAACCACATACCCCAACACCGCCCACGATGCCTTCATTTGCATCCCTCAAAGATCCCAAGGTCTTCCACATCCTAACATATGGCACCCTGCTCGGATCGAACCTCTTCCAGACCTTCATGGCTGGTCCCTTGGCCTACCAAGCCCTCCCACGACCACAGTTCAGCACCCTCCAACAAGCAATCTTCCCACCCTACTTCACCCTTCAGACAGTCCTACCACTATTCCTCATCTTGACCTGGCCTGGAGAGAAGCTAGCTTCGGCGGGAGGTGCAGTGGCGCGTAAAGGAGCAGGATATGCCGGCGTATTTGAGGAGGAGAACCGGTGGATAGCTCTGATTCCCATTGCACTGATGTGCGGCACAAGTCTGCTCAATTTGGTGGCATTGGGGCCTGCGACTACAAAAGTCATGAAGGAGCGGAAGCATCAAGGTAAGATCATCCAACAAGGAGTGTGTAGCAGGACAGAGCTGACAGATATTGCAGAAACGAGAGATGGAAAGAAATACTATGATGCCGGACCAAAGAGCGAGGAGATGCAGCGCCTCAATTCGAGCTTCGCGAAGCTTCACGGTGCTGCGTCGCTTGCTAACCTGATTGGACTGGGCGCCATGTTTGTCTATGGAGCTACGCTCGCCGAGATGATGTAAGAAAGATCGACAGCATGGATGGTATCACAGTTGCATGAAAGGTCTGGCCATGCAACACTTTCGAAGCGACACTGGCCGCGCCCTCATCCCACGATTTCATGTCTTTAGGAACATGTCGGAGCGTTGGAAGTGGACAATCACCCACGGCATTGTTCAGGAAACCGTTCAAGTGAGTTCGCATGCATATCATCGGTGTTGATGCAAGAAGTACCTCTTTCTTTTTGTCTTTGACGCTCTCAATTGTCAACGATTTCACTCCCTGGCTCATTCACAGACATGTGCAGGTTGCCTCTCAAAAGCCACGCATCAAAATCCAATAGCTTCTGAAGCATTGGTACACTTCCCTCCACGTACTCCAGTCGCCTCATCAACAGCAGGCTTCGTCACACCTTCACATGCTTGCTCTGGCACAGGCAAAGACTCTAGTAGTGAGAAGAGAGCTAGTGCATCCACTTCTTTATATACTTAACAACACCAACTCGGTCACAACCTTCAACTTACATCAACTACTTACCACGCAGCGACAGGCGGAGTGCTACAATTCGTTGCATCGACTACCCATAGACACATCGAAAGACTCGGCCCCAATTTCAACACCATGCATCTCTTGACGACCCTGCATGTGCTTGTGGCATTTGCTACACTTATCGCGGCGCAAGTAACATGTCCTCCAACAATCACAATAACAACAGACCCTGCAACCACAAGCGGGTTGACAAGCTCCTCCCACTCTCGACAGGTGATACATACCACCGAATACCAAACTACCGTGGTGACATCGAATGGAACGGCCGTTTTGGAGACGATTGCGAGACTTGTTCACGTTGAAAGTTCTGCGACGAAGGAGCTGGATTCACCCACAGCCTTTGCGACCGGATCTGCTTTGTGTCCAGATGCTGTGACTGTCACGGTTGCCGCCACTCTGACAGCTCCTTCTACGGAAATAGATTCGACCGCTTCGCTGAGTACAAGCTTGGTTTCTTCCACCTTGAATGTCACTTCATCTGCAGTGGAACCCAGTTCGACGGCTCTTCCTAGTTCGAGCTTGGCTTCATCAATATCCAACATCACGGCCTCCACAGTGGATCTAAGCTCAACTACTACATCTGGTCCAACTGCTACATCATCTGGGTCAACAACATCATCTGGGTCTGGCTCAACGACCACATCTGGTTCAACGACCACATCTGGTTTAACTACTAGATCTCGTTCATCTACTATATCCGGTACAACGACTGCATCTAGTTCAACGACCACATCTGGTTCAAGCTCGACTTTGACGACATTCGATTCCACCCTCACAGCTCCGGATCAGGCCTCTTCATCAAGCAGGTCATCAATCGGCAGTGCGACGGAATCATCGACCGGGACGAACACCACTGCATCAAGCAGCCATGGAGTGGCTCTAGATATCTGGACGACTCCTACGCCAACCCTCGAATGTGCATTTMCCTGTCTGTTGAAGATGCCATGCATGTCCCTGCCGACACCTACAACTATCACATTTCCACCATATACGACAACACTTTGCAAGCCGGCCTGTGATGGTAGCGTCCAGGTGAAGTCGAAAACAGTCATCACCCTGCCAGTCATTTCCACCGATTCCGTCTGCTTCTACCCAATGAGTGCCACTGGTGAAGGCCCAGCTACACCCGTACCTCGCTGGATCACCGACACTAGGACGATTAATGCTCCCAAAGGTCTATCCACATGTCCGCCAGTCTTCGCCAAGCCCGCTTCTGACGGCAAGTGTGGTCCCTCGAACCACTACATGTGCGAAGCGGGAGCATGCTGCAACAAAGACGGGAAATGTGGGACCGGGAAGGACTTCTGCGAACAAGGTTGCCAGATCAACTACGGCAATTGTTGGAAGAACTCTACGACTTGCGTGGTTCCAGCTTTTGAAGACACAGACGAGACAACGCCCATCCCAATCTTTCCTGTCACATACGATGATGATTTCGATGTCGTGTTACCTCCGATCACGATCATCCCAGGCATAGAACCTGTGATCCCAGTCTGCAAGAACACTTGTGATGATCCTATTTGTGGCATCCTGGGTTGTAATGGTGAATGCGGAATCTTGGGGTGCAGCAGTATCGATATGGGATGGTTCAAAGACAAGTTCCCCAAAACGGACTGTCATAGTCTGGCGAGAAAGGCCTCGTGTGCATTGTTTCAGATCGGTTGCTGTCCAGAGGACAACGATAGTGACGATGTAAGTATAATCGGTAGTGCCAGTTGGGAGTCTGCTAACACTCTCAGGACGGCTGTTCAATCGCCCAATGCACCAACGAAGACGAAGATGATGAACCCGGCTTCAATGGAGACACCAAGCTCTGCGATCCAGACAAGATCGGCGACTGCGGGCCTGTGCCAGATGAAAGCGAGCCATCCGCAAGCGCCAGGTCGTCCTCGACATCAAGCGAGGAATGCACTTCAACTACAACTGTCCACGATCAAACAGCACACTGCGTGGTCTCAAAAGCCAGCAACGGCAAGACCTCCACCAGCTGTACGTCCACCGCTACCGGCTCTCCGCGCAAAGGCTGTTCACTTCAACCCTCCACCATAACATCCTTCACATCCGGCTGCGAGACTCGCACAGCAAGTCACGTCACAAATGATTGCACTGTTCTCACAGGCGCCGGCAATGACACACGCACAGAATGCACCAGCAAAGCCACGACCTTCTCTGGCTGCGATGTCACCGGCATAACGACCACAAGCGCCGTGACAGAATGCTCTAACAGCAACACCGTCACGAACATCACGTCAAGCTGTTTCGCCACCAACATAACCAGCATGGGCTCGACGTTCCCTGGTTCAGGGACTTGCACCGGAGCCACGAGCACCGTCTTCTCGGGCTGCGATCTGTCAGGTACTGTGACTTCTGTTACGTCCTACGCCGAGAATGTTTGCGAATTCGTCCCAACGGACGTTACCATCATTCCAATCCCAGTCGAACATACCTCGTCTCCCTCTGCGACTGGTGCTGCATCTACGACTACCGGTGGAGCTCTCACTGCGGCACCTACAAGCACGACCCGAGGGGCTCTGAGTGTCCTTCAAAGTGCATTGGGTAGTGTTGCTGGCATTCATACAACAGCGAGCACTACTGACGACGCTCTCGATGTCCTCGAGAGTGCTTTGGACGATGCAACTGGCACGAAGATTGTGCAGGGTCGACGGTGGAGACCTCTCGGTGGTAGATGGTAGTTTGGCATGAAGGCACCACCGTACAATCCATATCGTAACAGAGTAGGGTGAGAAGCCAATAAAAGTCGCATCTTGAGCACGCTGAGCTCGATTATGCCCTTCTTGACACGAAATTCGCTGTCAGAATCTCGCTTTCGTCCGACTCCAAATAGGAGCGAGCTGTGGTAAAAGTCTTCTTTGTGCAAAAGTCTGTTTGCCCGAAACGCATCAGTCGAATGAATGAGGCTGCTTCGACCTGCAATARTCATATCCGCTCGAATCCGTAGGCACTACCATAACAAGGCTGATTGTTGTCGATGTTGGTGAAGGAATGCCAGACCGGAAAGCTACGACCGACTCTTTCGGAAAGAGCAATACGGTACTCTTGCTTGCAAAAGGCATGGCACAGGCATCACCTCGAGATCTGACACCCCCATCCTCGACCTCGGCTTGCGGTCATCAATCCCGGACAGATAGGTATCAACTCACCTGCATCCAACAATCTTCAACTTCTTCACAAAATCGGCAGGAAATGGCGGAACCACTCGGTCTGGATTTGAAATCGAAGAAGCAGCGACAACGTAGCGACTATGTATATCATGAAGATTATCGATCTCGATGGTTCGTCTCCCTACTGTTCACAGTGACAACCATCGCTGAACAACGAATGCACAGGTCAGACAACGACATGTTTCATCATCTGAATAATCCAGTATATGGAGTCTTGATCGACTCTATTATCAATAGTTATCTTATCCAGAAATGCGGGTGTGTATAGTAATACTTCCCTTGAACACAGAACCAGGGAAAGAAGCTGATGGTTTTGATCAGATATAGCACGAGCAAGTCAGAATTCATCGGACTGGTAGGGTCTTCGTATTGTGATTTCTTCGCAGAGGCGCATTATCCCGGAATGCTGAATGTGGGATTAAGGGTTGTGAAGATGGGGAAGAGTAGTTTGATGTACGAGGTGGGCGTGTTTCAGGAAGGAAGTGAGCAGGTGAAGGTGAGTTTCTCCATTCAAGCATCCCTCTCTCTATCTGTAACGAGATGGCTAACGAATCTCCTTAGGCGGTGGGAGGTTTTACGCAGATTTGGGTGGAGCGGAAAACGAATCGTCCAACTGCAGAGGGCGTTCCGGCACATGTGRGGAAGGAATTGGAGGTCCTCCTGAAGGGCAGTGAGCAAGATCCTGCGACCAAGTCGAAGCTTTGAGATGTTGCGATACAGAACGACGGAACCTTCAAGCCGTATGTATCGCCAGCATGTGTGGAATGCCGCCAAGCCTGGCCCTGAGAGGGTGAAAAGGCGATTTGCCGATCTCTTCGGGTTGGAACTTGGGTGCTGCAACGAATTCAAATTGGTTGCAAGTGAGGTCGATGCAATTCCAACCTGAAAGAGCGACATGGATGTGGGTCTATGCGGCGTCAGCCGAAAGGGGCGTGACCAATAGGCTATTCCCGTTATCAGCGTAGATCTAAAGATAAGACCGCGTCACGTTCCCCGACCCAAGGACACTCGTGGACGCATCACGAGAGCATCTCCGAGAGCTCATCCAAGACGGGAGGAGATCCTTGTTCCTCCTTCACTCCTGTCTTCTCTGCCACTCGATACAATACAATATAATACAATAGCCTTCATTCCTCCCCCTCGATACCGCGACGATGACGAGCCGCGCCCTGATCCCGCTTCTGGTGGGCATGATGTTGTTGACGGGCGTGTGTAATACCCTCCTGTATGGCATCCTCCTTCACTATCCAGAGACTATCACCAAGCTCATGACATGTACAGCACCAAATACCAAGACATGCAATGCATCGCCGACTGCGATACCAAACATCCCAAAATGTTCGAGCAGCCGGTCCTGCAAACGCTTCAAATGTTCATCGGCGAGAGCGGGTGTTGGCTCGTTGTCTTCCTGTCCTATCTCTTCCGCGTCGTCCGAGGGAGTCAGTCACGATCTTCYCTCGACGATGCGGCATATCGGCCCATTCACGAGGGACCAGCCGCCGATGACTCCGACGACGACGACGACGAGGAAGCGAACGCGAACATGACTACTTCACAAACACTTGTGGATCCGACGAATGTAGTGGCAAAGTCGTTGATTGATGGGGATGGAATCGAGAGGCAGCCGTTGGAGGGTTGGAAAGTGACGCTTTTATCACTACCGGCAATCTGCGATATCTGCGGGACAACACTGATGAATGTGGGTCTGCTCTTCGTTGCGGCTTCCATCTACCAGATGACTAGAGGGGCTCTGGTGCTCTTTGTTGGCTTGTTCAGCGTTCTCTTCTTGAAGAGACATCTTTCGGGCTGGAAGTGGGCAAGTCTGTTCATCGTCGTGCTTGGGGTTGCTGTGGTTGGACTGGCTGGTGTTTTGGCGAACAAGGGAGGCCCCCCAGCATTACCCGGCGACGACAGTGTTCTTGAGAAGACTTTGCTTTTTGTGAGGCAGGAGATGTCTACCTTTGAAGCTCACACCGCTGCCGAGACTGTGCTGGGGTTCTTCTTGATTGCCGTGGCTCAGATCTTCACCGCAACACAGTTTGTGCTGGAGGAGAGCATCATGGAACGCTACTCCATGGATCCAATCCAGGTTGTCGGGTGGGAGGGAGTATTTGGCTTCCTGGTCACCTTGATTGGAATGGGAGTGCTTCATGGAGCGATTGGCCAAACCCCTGCAGGTCGAGGAGGCTACTTTGACGCTCGAGAGGGCTTTCACGAGATGTYCCACAATCCTGCTATCGGAGTCACATCACTGCTGATCATGATCTCCATTGGGTGAGTCCGACAATCATGAATGCTGACTTGACCGCAAAGCTAATTACATGACAGTGGCTTCAACTTCTTCGGCCTCAGCGTTACTCGCTCCATCTCTGCAACAGCTCGCTCGACTATCGATACCTGTCGCACGCTGTTCATCTGGCTTGTGAGTCTTGGTCTCGGCTGGGAGACTTTCAAGTGGTTGCAGATTGTAGGCTTCGCGCTGCTTGTTTGGGGCACTGCTCTTTTTAATGAGATTGTGCAGCCTCCAACTCTTGCGTTCTTGAGAGGGCGGAAACGTAGGGGTGTTGCTCTGGAAGAATAGAATCTTCCAGTGGTGTCCACGCTCGGGGAATCGAAATTGGAGACGCGATTGGAGACGATTGTCTCTCCCCGTTTGCCTCATGCTGCCAAGCTCCGATCAAAATCCATGAGCTTTGACATACTCCCTATGCAGGAGATCTGCAAGTGCACCTCCCATGACGATATCAATCGGAGCCCAATACCGCACCCCGACTTTGAACGACATTCTCACAAGCCAACTTAAACTACCGATTCCCATTCCAACATCGATATGCTTCCGGACCTCTTCTTCGTCCCTCCGGAGTTCTCTCTCGTGAGACCAGCGAGGGATATAAGTCCGATACTCCAGCCCCGCGGCTTGAAAGGCTAGAATCAAAGGCGCTAGGTATAGGGTAGTGCGATGCATCGCAGTCATCGTTTTGATGTTTCGGAAAATCGAGGCCGGGGCTGTGAACCCGAAATCATTCAATTGGGAAAGATGGGCGAGACCGCCTGCTCCGGCTATGAATGGTGCACAGTCGACGACCGTTGCGTGTAGGTCTAGACGGCGGAGAATGGGAGGCAGAGATGAGTAGATTGTGGGACTGTTGCCTGGTTGGGGACGCCATTGGTTGTCTGAGGGAGTTTTGGAGACCCAGAAGAAGAGGGTGTTGTAGGCCATTTTTAATGAAAGACGTAGATGGGTGTTGATTGCGAGCTCCGTTCAGAATGGGGATGGTCAAGGCTTCCGGTKGAGTTATTCATTGAAGACAATGCTGCGAATCTTTCCCATAAGCCTGGCAGTTTCAAGCAGCTTTCTCTCTCTCTTCCGTCGTATGGGATTAATGGTAGTTTTTGATACTCTCAGGTTGTACGTCTCCAGGGTTGCTCGAGATCATCCTATTCGATGCAGGTCATAAGTACTAGATCAGATACATGTACAAGTATTGGACAATCAGTATGTATGTACACAGAGCGATTGGAGAGGTCCAGGAGGGGTGGTGTAGGTGATGTGGATGACGTCTTTGATTGATCAACCGTCCGAACCATAAATATGATCTGGGGTGGTGGTGCTCTACGGAAGTCTCGTCTATCTTATCCTTTATCTGAACTTGAACGATAGAGGCTGTCTACGGGTTTGTCTCTGCACGGACATCGAATAGTATCGTGGTCGCGAGATGCGTATTCAATATGTTTAGGGTTAGGGTTGGGGTTGGGGTTGGGGTAGTGCGAATTGATGACTCTTGGGCGACTGAGCGTGATCATCTGGTTTGAAGGATTCTATAAGTGGCTCGTAGTATATATATAGTCGCTCGGTGAGACGTTAGGAGATGTTGGAATTGGAGCTTTTGGAAGGGTGTTGTTATTTCCCTCGCAACTTTTGGTATTGGATGAAGTTCTTGTATGGATCTATTCGAATGAGATGTCTCTAAGAGCAGTATATTCAACACGCGAGTCTATTTTCACAAAACTACCAGATCAGACATGTTTTCAACATGGAAGAGATCCTTGAAAGGCTGTTTCCAGAAGTCGAGGCACATGTAAAAGGACTGGTGAAGCTCAATCGTTCGAGAGGTGAGCAATGGAGAAGATCAATTCGCTGCGTACCAATCACACGCTATGCATTCCCGCCCACTACATATCTCTTTCGTTCGGCCGTCTCAACATAATGCTCCTGTCATATATTCATTTCCCCATTGCCTTGCCCCGTCTCAAACTTCCCAAATCAAACTCATCCGATGCTTGCTCCGTCGCATTCTTCGACCCCGGCATCCTCGATGATACCTTCTGTCCACCGCTGCCAAACAAGGAAGCATCCATGTTGGATCTCGCAGGCGGTGAAGGAGCAGACTTGAYATCCTGGCCAAGCATAAAGGAAAAGGCACTCTGTTCCAGCGGAGGACGGGAGGGAGTCGAAGGCAGCGGTTTGGCCGGCTCTGTCTGATTCTCCTGTATCGCTGTCGTGTTCTGAATTGCACTCGTAGTAACAGGGGTGCTTGGGGTTTCAGCACCAAAGTCCTCGAAAGAGGAAGGGTCCGCGAGAGTTTGACTGTGCTCAGGAGCATCTTTTACAATGGCAGTCTCCTTGTCGTCTGTATTAGATTCGGCGATCCGGGGAAGACTGTCTTGACTGGCGCTTTGGGAAGTCCGCTCTTCCTCGGGCAGATTAAGACCTGGTTCGCTCAGGTAGACTTGTACAAATTGTACCTTGGCAACAGCCGTGCTAAGCTTCTCCACGCTTTGTTCCTGCCGGACGTGACCAGTAGCCTTGTCATCTTCGGTGGCCAACTTTTGATAGTCCCAGAGTTCGTTGACGGCACCAGAAAGCAGCTCAGCCAACTTCTTGTTACGATCCTCGAGTTCTTTGACCCTCTCAGCCAGACGATCATCCACAGGTCGGTGACGAATCGACGGAGGCGGCGTTTGATTCTCGCGGATCTCTTGAGCCTTCTTTTGAACTTCTTCAACAGCATTGCGAACGGCCTTGCCAATGCCAAGTTTCTCCCCCTGAGCGAAAATGTTCTTGGCGGTGCTTTGCAATACTGTCTCGAGGTTACGAGACTGGCGGCCTGATCGTGACGGAGATAGCCCAGTGCGGCTTCGTATGGCATTGATACCAGAGAATGTGGTAATGTTACGTTGCAGTGCCGGTGGGGTCGCTGGACGGTTTGCTCGCAGCAAGGGCCGGCCAGTATATTTCAACACCAGATAGCTGCYGCCTTCGGTATTCATATGAGTCTTCAAATACAATGCGTCAAGTCCGAGACTTTGTGCGGGAAAGTCTTTGTCTTGCTCAGGATAGCGTAGGAGATAGCCTAGGGCGTTATTGTAGTCCGAGTCGAGCAGATGCCATCGGATTCGTAGAAGCATAGCGAGGCAGATGTGGTCCACAATCTCCAAAGATGGGTCTTCTGCAAATATCACGTCCCAAAGGGTGAGGACACTTTGGAAGTCGAACTCGCGGCCGAACAAGAGTCGAATCCACCGGATCAGGAACACTTGTGGGACAATGTCGAGGCCTTCGAGATGCGTCTTGAGCTCGGGATCCACTTGAGGTAAGAGCTCGGCAAAGATGTGATGACTTCTGGACGCAATCGATATCGGGCCTTCTGAAAGATACTGCGAGAGAGGTCAGAGGAACTCTAGGATATGTTGCTGGCTCGACTGACAAAGGTTTTGGCGGACTGCATCACCTGTCCAAAGATGGCAAATGCGTCTTCGAGCGATTAGTACTTTAGTATCAACAAGATGGGATGATTTCATCACCCACCGTGCTCCACATACTCTGCATCGAATATGGTCTTGATCAGTGCGTCCTGGCCCATGGTTCTGCTGCTCCCTCCAATCTGAATGGCATCATTCTCGACAACCCATAAGATTGGCGCTGCGATCTCGTGCATACCCTGGCGGTATCCCACATCGGCATTCAGTTTGCAGAAGATGAAGAGGATATCTAGCAGCATTCGTTGAGTCTCTGGTTGGCGGAAATAGGGATTCTCAGGCATGCATCTCTCGACATCTTGGGTGATTTCAGCCCTCAACTCTTCATCCTTTTGAAGAGCGGCCCATGGCGAAGACTTTCACCACTTAGCTTTGGTCAGAGCAGAGGTATGAGATGGTCTGGCAAGTATTCCAGCATCGATATATCATACCTCGGAATCCTGGCTAAGAGGATCAAAGCCCGCTCCCGCTCCCACATCTTCCGGATGATCGAGGTAGCGGAAAAAGTGAGTTCGGAGGGAGTTGAAGGCCGAGCGCGAGGAAGCCAGCGTCCGCTGCCATTCAGCTGCATCAACGTTATCAACCAGCAAGAAGGCCTTCCACGCCGCGGATCGAAAGCCGTTCAAACTCTCCAGTTTGAGGTGTGGTTCAAGTCGAACGCCATCCTTGAGCTCTCGCAGCGTCTGGTACTGCTCAAGCTCTAGCCAGCTTTCCCTGGCATGCTCGAGGCTTCGCATACTTTGACGTGGTGAGCTGGCGAGGTGTTGATGCACGAGATAGCGTCACGCGTGGAAACATCGTGAACCCACCTACTTTGGAGCTTGCGGTTCCTCCCGACTCGCTTAGAATCGTTCTAAATATGTGGAGAACGTGATGTATGTATTGTGGGGAGCAGTAAATGTATTGACGGTATATACAACTCATTTAGATCATTCACGCTGCCGCTTCGGCAGACGCGGTTTTATCACTGGTAACAGCAGCAGCATCGGCCTTCAAGTCGGCCCAGCTTGTTTGGCGATACCCACCACGCTCAAAGCTCTTCATTGGAACCAGACCGTATTTATTGAACATTTCCTTGTCAGCGTCCCATCCCACAGCCTCGGTCGTGAGCATCTTCTCTCCAGTAAACACTGCGTTGGCTCCGGCAGAAAAGCAGAGAATCTGCTCAGCCTCGCTCATTGTAGTACGCCCAGCTGCGATACGAATGATGGTGGCAGGCATGACTAGACGTGCAGTTGCAATGGTTCGAAGAATGGCGTCAAACTCGATGCGTTTTCGGTTGGGATCATCGCCCAGCGGCGTGCCCTTGATGGGCACGAGAGCATTCACCGGGAACGACTCTGGATGGGCTGGAAGAGTAGAGACGGTATAGAGAAGACCGACATGGTCTTCTGGTTTCTCGCCAAGACCAAGAATACCACCCGAGCAGACATTGATGCCTGCTTGTCGGACGTGGGACAGAGTCTGCAGACGCTCGTCGTAGGAACGAGTTGTAATAACCGAAGGATAGTGCTCACGCGAGGTATCCAAATTGTGGTTGTAGGCGGTAAGACCTGCGGCGGCGAGTTCATCTGCTTGATCCTGATCAATCATACCAAGAGTCACGCAGACTTCCATGTCCATGCCGCGGATCCCCTCTACCATGGCTTTGACGTTCTTCAAACTGGTCTTTCGCCCGCGCATGTCACGCCACGCGGCTCCCATGCAGAACCGTGTACTGCCATTGCTCTTGGCTATCCGGGCCGCTTCCAGCACCGAATCGACGGGCGACATCTTGGTAGCTTTGAGACCGGTGTTGTGGCGAGACGATTGCGAGCAGTAGGAGCAATCTTCACTACATCCTCCCGTCTTGATGTTCATCAACGTGCACATTTGCACTGCCGACGACGAGTGGAAGCGGCGGTGCAGCGTGCCTGCTTGGAAAGCCAGCTCCATGAGCGGCGTGTCGTAGATTTCCCGAATCTCATCCTTGGTCCAGTCGTAGCGAGGAGCCCGTGCATTGACAGCACTCCATACCGCGTTGCGGGCCTCTGGAGGCGGGGGAGCAGCGGCCGAGATAGGCGAGAAGGAGTCGTTGACGGGCGTGCTAAACTGCCGGGAGCGAACTACAGACGACGTTTGAGCTCCACGAGTGGCGGCTCGTCGGGAGAGCAGAGCCAGCGACATGACTGCGGACGTGATGAGGGAGGATGGAGCAACAAACCCCCCATGTTGACTCAACAACTCGGTGTTAACCTCGCCTTGCCAAGTCACGGCATAATTCCCAATCATTGGAGAGCTACCCCACTACGAAGAGCCGAGCACGAGAAGTTGGGACGGCAGCAGTGAAGGACGGCAGGGGCGGTGTCCAATMAGAGAAGCTCCCCTCTCTGGGGTAGTTGAGCTCATTCACTTCTCTTCCCTCACTGCGACCTCTTCTGCGGGAAACATCATCAGGGCGAGAATGATCGGGTCATCCGCCACGATGGAGTAGATTCAGGCACTGGTCTCGTTGAACAATGGCGGTTGCTAAGCAAAGCATGCGAAGGTTGCATCGATGACAAGTTACGCAGCATTCATCATGGGCTGGTGTACTGCATCGGCAGAATGTCGATTTGCCCGCCGGTATCGATACACTCGATCTCTGAACCCGCATCGCAGACTCCACGGCCGACTCTTGTCAAATAATCGAGAGTCTCGCAGCGTCAGGGCATTACGTCCAAGGCGGTCCGTCGGCACGAATCAATCTGCCGGTTCCGAAGCGGGTTGGACACGAAAGACAGGAGTTCGATCACAACAAGAGGTGTTCAGACGTCACCTATACCAGGTACCTTGCGACCAAACGCGCAGTCATATCCAAGCACGATGCAATGTGCTTCAACCTGAAACATAGCGGCGAGTAATGGGTCGGAACGGCCCCCTCGGAATCGGGACCCCGTTGAACATTCACCCAAAGGAGTCACCACTGAGCCCTCTTTCGGCTCGGGCCTTGCATACCCATGATTCTCGAAACGAGTGACCTCTGTCCTTTGTCAATCTTATCATCGGCCTGCTCTACGACCCCAACGAAGAAATTGAAGCTAACCAGGCCTTGACACCAGACTTTGAACACTGAGCAAGTTCAATGATCGACATAGCAGCCTCTCTATCGTTCTTGTCATCGCAAACATAGTAGTGGGAGGATGAAGCATTGATCACAGCATTTCTGCATGTTGTCCAGTCTTTGGTCGCGCAACGCGGGAACGACATGTTGCAGTGTGTCCAGATCGCGGCGAGACCACGGTGACCATCACGACCCCTGGCGCTTTTCATTCCAGCATTTAGTTCTACAGCAGCATGCAAGAGTTCTTGGCATCATTACAGCATTGTGCGGACTTCATCCCGTCCGCGACGTCGCAAGCTTTGAATTAGATCAGTACTGCTTCCGATCGACGCGGATTCATACTTGCAATCATATCGGATACACGGAACCTTGCGCGACTTGATGTCCGCTAGTGTTCCATGACAACAACCGCATTGCCTAAAGGGACTTCGGGACGGGACTTTGACTGCAGAAAACATCCCAGTCTGAGACGATTAATACCTCTTCCTTACTGACTCTGAGGAGCGCCACGTTGAAGCCACACGAAATTGCCAGTACGGAGCTGCCAGGACACCGACGTTCACAGTGTGTTGGTTGGAAAGCTACGACTCAGGGCAGCCGTGATGGCACCTCAAGGGGATTCGAGTAGTATCATCAGCAATAGCAGCTCAGCGAGGTATAAGACCATCCAGTCGACACACCTCTCTTTCTCTCTTCATCACAACATCACTTCATCTTCACACCACAGCAATCTACATTCACTCAAACACTCTTTATTTCCATCAACTTCAAAAACAAACCACTCCACCACCTTCAAGATGCAGTTCACCTCAGTTTTCACCATGCTTCTTGCTGGTGCCGCCTTCACTATCGCTGCCCCTGGCAACCCAACCTACGGTGGTGCCAGCGGAGGTAGCCAAGGTGGCATGAGCCCTGGCGGCCAGGGTGGAATGGGTGGCGGATCTGGCTCCGGTGGCTCCGGTTCTGGCGGTCCCAGCGCTGGTGGCTCCGGCTCCGGCGGCTCTGGTATGGGCGCGGGCAGCTACCAGGGAGGCATGGGTGGCTCCGGTGGCAGCGAGAAGAGCCCAATGGGCGGCTCAGGTGGCTCTGGCAGCCAGATGGGCGGCTCAGGCGGCTCCGGTGGCTCTGGCAACCAGGGTCGCTCTGGCGGACAGCCATACTTCTGCGGAAAGGTCAACGGCCTTCAGGGAAGCCCACAGTGCTGCCAGACCAACGTCCTTGGTGTTGCCAGCTTGACCTGCTCTCCACGTATGTTTCCTATCCGATGCTCTCGATGCATTTACCATTCGCTAACAAGTCTTTTCTACAGCATCAAGCAGCATGTTCACCCAGCAGGAGTTCAGCAAGGACTGCGCCAAGAACGGACGCGTTGCCAGCTGCTGTGTTCTTCCAGCCGTAAGTACCCACATTCAAGACACACCTCCGAGCAGAACAACAACTAACATAAATTCACAGGCCGGTCTCGGTGTTGCTTGCCAGGACCTCAACGGCAACATGCTCTCTTAGATTCGAGCATTGCATGCTCCGTTCTACGGCCTTTGTCACGGTCACGCAAATATCTTCCCATGAGCCTCACACAGTCAACAGCAGTTACCAACAGCTTCGCATTACTGTCTTATGAACATATCCTTAATATGGACAGTTGAATATAGACGGTTAAACCATGTCTCCTTAACGCTTGAACGACACCTCCTCAACGCTTTCTCACAACCCAGCCGCCCATTTTAAACAAGTTTCTTCTTCCATGGCAACGCTCAGTGTTCACGATGCCAATACTGTATGACACCGCTGCACCCCACCAATGTAGACCTTTCCTCGCGTTCATGCACACGTCGATGCAGATCTTCCCCATCACATCTCCTCGTGCTTGAGCTGGAGTGTCTCCACATCGCATTGTCGCCCGCCCATCTCCGGACAGCAATTGTTCGGCCAGTCAAAGAGGCTCGTCGAGGTCACACGACCTGAGAGACATGGCTGCAGGGTCGACAAGGCAACCACTTCCCTTTGCCTTGTGTTGTGTCAGCCTCACTTCATGTTCCACCATCACTTCTACGACGTCCTTGATTCGTCCTCCACCACCATGATCAACATCGTTATCATGACATTCCCGTCCCAGTGTCCAACTCCCATCTGTCGTCAAAGATATGTCTCCTCCTCTGCTCCACGAAGCTGGCCTGAAGCTATCGACCAAGACTTGACGCATACCTAGCATTGGAGAACGCGACACAGTGAGGCTCAATCAGAAGCGGTCCATGGGTCTTGAACCAGATCTTCTTGCTTTTGGCTTCCACTATTCAGATCTCCTGACGATATRCAGCGCCTCCGTGCGGGACAATGATCTTCACAGACCCTCCTGTCTTCATATTTGTTGTATGCATTGCCTTCCCATCCTCAAGCTCCTTCCGCTACCCCACCGGAAAGCAATCGATGGTAGAACTCCTTGCAAGAATGATCCATCATTGTAACTGGATAATTGAAGTTGATGAGCACTTTCCGTACGTCTGCCCAGCTCGCCAGACGTAAGTCACTCAGCAAGCCGAGGATCAGCTGGCTGAAGAAGGCCGCAGAGCCACAAGTGACCGAGATGATGAAGACTGCCCACAGTGCAGCCTCTGCTGAGTTGGAATCCTTCAGCGCCTCCTGATCCATCTCCACAGCTTCCTGMCAGGCAGCCTCAAAGCCAGAGTTGTACATCGATCCGTGCGCGAATTCGCAGCCCTCTGTCTTCTGGCAGCTCTGAATGGCGAGACAGGCACTGGCGATTCGCAAGGACTCCTCGATGGGATGCGTAGGTTGGGAGTCTGCTAGGAGAGAGGTATTGGATGTGACGGTGGTCATCACAATATCGAACAGCAGCTTGTTCAAGCGGTGTCTTACGCCTGGACTGTGGTAATCAAAGCAAGCGCTGCGGCTCAGTAAGTGTAGGGATTGGCTGCTTATCGAAATGCGGGTTTKCAGCGCAGCAAAGCCTCTAGGCAAGGCTATCGGAAGGTGCTTGCTACTGAAAAGCCCGCCAGGGATGGTAATCTCCTCCAAGGCCGATCCATCTCCATTGCGTGTGAGAGACCCAAACCTCTCGTCGCCAGGCACCAGTGCAGCGGCGGCAGCAGACAGAGAAGCGGCCGTGAACTTGAGCACATGGGTAATCCAATGGACGAGGGGTTTCAGCGTGCCTACTGCACCGTCCTCTTCGGTGGAGGACTGCATTCCGTTGTGGAAGGATTGCTGCTCTGAATCTCGTTGCTGATGCTGATCGACATGCTGATGGCTCTGCGCTCGAGATAACGGGGGAGGCTGCGGTGGATGCTGTGGTTGTGGTTGTGGTGGTGGTGGTGGTGGTTGTGGCTGTGAGTGAGCCTGGAATTGCGCCTGAGGTGTACGCTGAGGTTGAGGTTGAGGCTGAAGCTGAGGTTGAACATGCCTGGCGATGCCGGGTTGTCGGGGAGTGCTGCCTTCGCTAGGCGAAGTTGGAGAGTCGCGAAGGCGGCCGCCTCGGTTGCGGGCTCTCGTTTCCCTGCTCTGGGCAGCGCTTGCACGAGCGGCCTGAGCCCTCACAATCCGCCTGCTCTCCTGCGAATGTCGACCACGCTCCGACACTATCACCAACGGTGGGTTCTGTCCAGGTCGACTGGAGGAGTGGATGAAGGCATCGCCATCATTGGACGCCGTAGAGTCCCGCGACGATGGCATGGGGCACGTCAACATGCGGCCACGGCAGTGGGCAGCTACCTAGCTATACTCGTCTCGGCAGATGGTGATCCAGATCAACGAAGAAGCGGAAGGGAACGTCCACGAGGCAGAGGAAAGATGGTAGCTTCCGCTGTGCCCGAGTTCCAGATTGCAGGTACTTGAACGGGCAGTGGCAAGACACGTGGTGGTGGGTTCCGTTAATACTATGGTCCCGCCCCCCGGTAGATATCTCAACGAAGGACGTACTACCTACTACTCGATACAAGTGTAATGGTCGGGATCAGGATGCGACGCCAGTGCGCGACAGGCTTCTGGAAGAGTCCCAGCGGGCGAGGGGCATGGGTAATAATAGTAGTGCCGGCATCGCGTATGCGTCGAAGTGCTTTGCGACTAGCAGGCGTAGGTGGTACCCAGCAATCGACCCAAGCAGGTGTCATCGTACATGCATTTTGATTCCAAACCATCGCTGCGGTAAGTCCCTGCGTGCGGAGCGGGTGCCATTCTGGCCAGCCTTCACCTGCAGGATTCGAACAAGACTCCGAGGCCTGCCTTTTTTGTCTTACTCGGAATTCTCGCAACCTTATTCACCGCTTGCAATTCTATCGACAGCCGGCCCACCATCGATGTCCTGCAGATGCGATCGCTTGGACAAACGAAGCCTCTCAAGGGAAGGAAGGGAGGTGGAGTGGCGAAACTCTCGTCACATGTGGCTGAAATCGCTTACCCACATATTTAACTCGCCGGACCAGATGCTTTACTAAGGAACTCCATCAGCGCCAAGTTTGCAAGTACCGGCGGGCAGAGGGCTGAACTGACATGGCCCTGCCTGTCCGTGACGACGCATGGATACATCTGTAACTACCCTGCTTTTCACCAGGTATCAAACCCAACGTTCGTTCTCGCGCGCAATTACGAGGTATAAATCTTCAACGAACACTAGGATCCTACACTGCCAGCAACTCCCGTCCACTTGTAGTCGCGGTCCGTCACTTGCCGCTGAATCTAGTTGTGTCTTGCCTTTGCTTTGCCCACAAAGCGGCAAGCTCACATCGCGAGCTACGATCTACAACCCACGTGGATCTACCGCATCCCAAGGCTGGTCTGGAACGTCGGCATCATTCGATTCGCGTGTGTGTTATACAAGCCGTCTTATCGCAAGCTCAAAGGGGTAGCCGCCTCGAGAGATCATGATGATGGTAGGGTTAAAAGTGGGGAATGAACAGTACAGAGCAACACCCCTAAGGAGCGCGGCTACCAGAGGCATCACACAGGTAGCTAGACGTCAGGGGCGTTTGTGACAAGTTCGAAGATCAGCCTGGAAAGTCTCGCGGCGGTCATGCAAAGAGGAATTGCGTTTGCCAGTTACAGCCCCGGATCCTTGGAATTTCGAGGATGACGCAGTTCTGATGGCACCGCCACATCCCACACCCGCGAACTTCCGTCTCGGAACAGAGGATTTCGGACGACGGACTATACACCGGGACAACACAATGTGATCATCGACGAGCCCGATTCATCGATTTTATGGCACTACGCAGGGTGTCTCCCGTATCGATAATCTACCACAGTGTCGGCATGACGATTGCGGAGTTACTTCCGTCGCTTTACCAATTCTCCGCCCGCCCACCTACGAGAACGGGGTCCGCGCAAAACGGAGAGGTGCGAATAGCCAGAAAGCCAAGGGGGTTGCCATATTCATCGCCGGCTCGTCGCAGTGGGCTGACGGTCTCAAAACTTCGTCAAGTCTTCGGCCTAGGGGATGTTCGTCTCAAAGAAACGACCTTTTTGTGCATCTGATGTCCCTCCGATGGAATTCAACCAAGACCCTTTGTGACGGGGAGCTAGGCTGCTGCTGCGGCGCTTCATGTTAGGGCTAGAGTACCGCGGAGCCGGAGAATATACGCGAGCAGCAACCATGAACGGCATGATGAAGTAACCTGGATGTCGTACTAGTTATTCTAAGGGTCTCAGCATTTTCCCTCGCAAATAGCATTTCCTCGAAAAGGCAACATCGTTCCCATCGTCGATGCTTTCCCATGCAACGCTCCAGGAGTTCAGGGCTAGAACTCGTCAGACTCGTCACAACCGACCATGATGATGGTGCTGACTTGAAAAGCTTTTCATCATCCCTGCGAGCAACCTGTACCATGACGCTGGAACTTCTGCTGCAAGGCGGCTGCAGCCCGGTGCACGTTAAAGGAACCTGGCTGCTGCCGATGCTGCTTCACGTAGCACATGCGATTCGTTTCCTCCTAAGTGTACAGCGTCTTCGCACAGTCTACGTACGGGCCGCTATTCTCTGCAATCGGATTGACTCACTCCTACTTTACTAGGATTGCCGGGAAGCGCAGTTTCTCCCGATATACGAAGACGATGTAGGCCGTTCGAATCGTGTTGTGTAGGACACTGACCGTGTTCATGGTGTGAAAGAGGTGGGGTGGGAGTGGAGGATGAAGCGACCATGCGGAAGCTCAGGAGGGGGAAAGGAAGCTAACATAACTACGACTACTCCGTCCAATCGCCATTCTCAWCGACAAAAGATCCGCAGACTTCCGGACTCAATCCACCCAGAAAGAAGCAGAAATGCCTAATCGAACCAGCATGTCAGATAATGACAGTGACCCTTATGTTCGCTTATAACAACATGATTTCTCAAATCTGACGAACCTACACACTGCCTGGATACTACGAATTCGAAGATTAGGCTAGGAGAGCCCAAGAAATTGCTACAATACCTCGGCCGCTTTCTCTAGACAACCTAGACTCCTTCCTAAGAGTACCCCGACATAGTTAGGGACACATTTCCCCAACACGTCGTTGGACCAGCGGAGTCGCGTACTTCACTTGAACCAAGCGAGTGTGCCTTAGTGGAAGAAGGAGAATCTTGTAGTGCTTGGGAAATGTCCGAGTTCTTCTCACCACTCAAACATCATTCTCGACAGAGAACCTGTGWGACTGACAAGCGCTGTAGTCTTTCTACGGATCCGTCTCATTTTCCGCGAACGTGGATGACTGAATCTAGAACCAAATAGAAAAGACGAGTGCGTTCGTTGAAGCTGTAGAAAGGGTTATAGTCGAGCACATCGAGCGAACTGAACAGGACCGAGTAATTCTTGTATGGAAGGCACTTTGAACAATTGTCGTTGTCTGGTCCATTGCGTCTGCCGTCGTCGTCCGTCTCTCCGGGGTTCCTCTTCCAAGGGTCTTTGACTCAGTGAAATTGCTGAAACCTTCTCCGATCGGGTCCATGATTTTAGAGACTTTTCTTGCCTCATCCGGGATGAGACCAACAACCGCACATGCTTCCCGTTGCACATGTCCGAATGTAGACTGTTCGCATCGTGTTGTATACGAGTCGCTTACATGGCGTGAAGGTGGAGTGGGAGTGGAGGAGCAAGGACCACACGCGACTACAAGCGTGTCAGGCGATCGCTCTTGCGCACGCGTGTGGCTTGGGGTGGTGGTTTGTGCGTTTGCGGGGGAATTGAAGAGTGTGGAGAGGGATTGACAAATGAAACTCCTCTCCTTCTCACATCATCATTCATTTTCACTGCCATTCTACCACGACATACAACAATCATTATGCGTATAGAAGCATTGGCAGCGAGTCTGCTGGCGGGCTTGACTTCAGCATCGACTTTGACGCCGCCTGTTCTTCCTCTGATCGTCCGCAATCCGTACCTCTCTACATGGCTAGTGAGTTGCTTGGAGTATAGCTAAACTCAGGAACGTGCAACTGACAGAGCATTCTTCCCCTCCCAGGCCAATGCAAGAGATGAGCCATGGTCGAAATGGCCAATGTTCTACACCGGTGACTCGTTGGGTTTTTCAGTATTAGCTTCCACTCCAGATACTTCGACCGTTTACCCTCTTCTCGGACGTCCACAGGACTCTCTGGACAATGAGAGCACAAACTACACCATCTCGAACCCAAAGTACCTTGGAGCTCAGTACGATGCTTCCACCACCAATTTGACATACACCATCACACCGAATCATTCATCCAATGGCAGCGCCGAGGTTGTGCTTTCATTTCTGTCCCCGATAACTCCCACTTCAACTCTGAGGCAGTCGATTCCAGCTAGCTACCTTTCAATCCACGTGAAAGGAAGCTTCGATCTTGACATTTATGTCGACGTGAATGGTGAGAGAGCACGTGGCCGTAATTCCGCCACGGCATATGCTGACCTTTTGTTTCTCTTCAATAGGCCAATGGGTGAGTGGGGACCGTGGTTCCCACATCGAATGGAACTTGCATGAACAGATTGCGAAAGACACCACTAAGCTCAAGACTTGGAGGGTCAAGAGAAGCAACGAGGAGCTCTTCACCGAAAAGGCGGATAGAGCAGAATGGGGAACTCTCCATTTCACAGGACCCTCAGATGTTGCACACGAATGTGGGACGTCGGGTATCCTTCGTAATCGATTCGCAAAGACTGGGAAGCTGAACAATGCTGTTGACAACTCTTTCCGAACGATCATGGACGAGGAACCTGTATTTGCCTTTAGCAAGAAATTCAACTTGGGATCCGGCGAGAGGAACGAGGACAGCGTTCTGTTCACAATCTCACACATCCAGAATCCCGTCACCCAGTTTGCTTCTGCCAGGGGATTGACGATGATGCGACCACTCTGGATGTCGTACTTTTCCTCAGACGAAGCGCTGATCGACTTTCACTACCACGACTTTCGCCATGCCTTGAGTCTTGCGTCTGATTACTCCACTCAAGTGGCAAAGGACGCATACGCGAGCGGTAGCGATAGTTACAAGGACATCGTTGAGTTGAGCGCGCGGCAAGTCCTGGGTGCTACGGTGTTCAGCGGAACCCCGGAGAATCCCATCCTATTCCTAAAGGAAATCAGCAGTAATGGCAACTGCCAAACCGTCGATGTCATATTCCCTGCTTTCCCCTTCTTCCTATACACAAATCCTCGATGGTTGGCATACCTCTTGGAGCCTCTTCTCGAGCACATGCTCAGCGGTCAGTACCCCAACGATTACACAATGCATGACTTGGGCACACATTTCCCTAATATGACTGGCCATTCCGATGGGAATGATGAATACATGCCGGTGGAGGAATGTGGTGACATGCTCATCATGGGTCTTGCGCTGGTCAACAGTCTGTCATATGGTTCGGACAGCGAGACACAGTCGCCATGGAGTGCTCTCGGTGCGGCCAAGAAGGCTTCCGAGATCGAGATGCTCGCCGATGATATCAGTCCATTCGCCCTACCCTCCCAGCCTGAGACTCGAGATGGTATTTTCGGCCTCGACGATGCATGGGGAGGCGCAAGCTCCGCCCACCAGGCTAAGAAATGGCTATCGAGATCATACCGTCTCTGGAACCAGTGGAGTGGATATCTCGTCGACTATTCCCTTTACCCTGCGAATCAGCTTTGCACGGATGACTTTGCCGGCTGGCTTCCTCTGATGACGAATCTCGCGCTCAAAGGTATCGTTGGCCTCAAAGCCATGAGCGAGTTGGCAGAAGTCGCTGGCGARGTCGAAGATGCCAAGTACTATCGCAACATCAGCGAGACGTACATCAAAGAGTGGGAAACTCAGGGAATGTCCAGGGATGGTGAGCGTGCCAAGTTGTCCTACGACTGGTACGGCTCCTGGACGACTCTTTACTCTTTGTACGCAGACGCCGTGCTCTGCTTCCACCCCACTCTCAACTCCACAGAGAGTAGTATCGAATTGGCACACGGTGGTTCACAGCAACCCATACTTTCTAGTCTAGGCAAGAAGAGCAGCAACTTCATCCCCGATCACATATACACTGCTCAGTCCCGCTGGTACGAGACTGTGATGCAGAAATATGGATTGCCGCTGGACAGTCGTCATCTCTACACCAAGAGCGATTGGGAGTTCCAGGCGGCGGCGGTGGCTTCCAAGAAGACCAGATCTCAGATCTTGGACAAGGTAGCCACATGGTTGAATGAGACGAGTACGGATCGGCCATTTACCGATCTTTACAAGACGGAGGAGGATGGCGGATTTCCAGGCAAGTCGATCATTTTCGTGAAGATTTCGCACCAGCTAATAATTCGTAGGTCCCAACTTCTTCGCTCGTCCAGTGGTGGGGAGTCATTTTGCTTTCCTAACTCTCGAGCGGGCTTGTCAGGGTAAGGGAGCGGCTGCATTTGCATATGAGGAGTGAAGTTTGGGACGTCTTTCAATCTTTCGGTGGTCTATTCCTAGCATTGCGATCCTTCTGAGGCTGATTGATATCTCGATGCGGCATCGGAATGGAATTGGGGTGATTGTTGGTTGAAGTCTGGCCGCCATGTTTCCCATCAATTTCATGTCGCAGTGCTGACTAATCGATCGCCGCAACTCACCATTGGATGTTGACAACCATACCAACCTCACTCTCCTTCTGTAGCACGTTGTATACCCTCGATACCTTCTCAATCATGTCGTCTGGATATGGCTTAACCGGAGGTATGCTTCCCCTCCTCGGTGTCCACCGCGCATGAGCTCCAGCGAAGTCGGCGCGGTGATGGAGATCAGACACTGACAGCAGCCTCCTCCAYCGTATAGGACCTTCGCGCTGCTTTCCCTTCTGGCAGGAAGTCCTTGCCTGCTACGTCGTCAACACAAACGCCGAAGACGACTCCGGCAAGTCCAAGTGCCAGCCACCATTGCAGGATTACTACGAGTGCTTGCATCACCGCAAAGAGGTACCCATACCAACCCCGTAGCTTGCCGCTGCTCAGAACGAGGGAAATACGGTGCTGAGCACAATCACAGGCATCCAAGATCCTCGCCCTGCAAGCCGCATACCGAAAACGCGAAGCCGCGACACCCAGAGACAATGCGCCAAGCGCTGGCGAGATCAGAAGTCTAGGATTGTTGGAGGCGAGTGATGCGGAGAAGCATGTCAAGCATGGAGATCTGCTGCCCAGATATGCGGATAACAACCCCAAGGGTGCTCCTGCATAGAAGAGGATGCGGAGGGAGTGTAGATATACGAATGAAGGAGAGCGGACTGCAGGCACTGCGCCTGGTCTGCTGAGATACCACTATATTTGCGCTGTACGAACGAACTTGCATTTATCGGACAGCACGGCATGAGAACCCGATCACGGCATGTTCTCGAGCCTCCCATTCTCGCCACAAACGAATGGAGCCCATCGCCCGAAGCGGCCCGCGAATTTGTCCTGCACAACCTCCAGCACATTCACCATATCCGCCGACGACCTGCCATGTGGCGCGGAATCCCTACCATGCGTTTCTGCAGATCTCCTGGGGAGTCTGTGCAGATACATGTGAACATCAAGCAGATACCCAAACCCAGGCCCCAGCAAAGGCCGGACCGTACATGATCTGAATAGGCTGAGCGTCTCCTCACCAGGGCTTGGTTTGTTCGTCAAGGCCGTACTGAGAACCACAGTGCAGAGGTTCTGGGTTCGCGTAAGATGGCCCAGCGAGCGCATGAGAGATGAAAGCAATGCTTGTCCTTGTGTGTAGTTGTTCTTGATCAAAGGTGCTATGACGTGAGAAATGCTGTCGATGATGAGTAGGTTTGGTGCTTCGACATCATCTTCTTGTGGTAGTTCTTCGACTGGTGGCGGATTGTCAAGCACTTCTTCATCATCATCCTGGCTGTCTGGTATCGTGGCTTTTGGCGCCCTCGCTGCAGGGCTCTGTGCTCGTTCCTCCAGTGATTCTCGCAGCTCGAACATGGCTTCAGTAAGTCCCACATAATCGAACACTTTCATGATCTTGAGACGATCCAGAACTTGAATCGCTGCCTCTCTATTTTTAGTTGAAGCCTCGATAGCTTTGTAGAGTCGGCGCAGATCGAGGGAATGGGAGCTGTCAATCACTGTCGCGGAGGCATTGGGTGTATTCAGTAGATGTGCTACCAATATCCCATGAACAAGATCATTGGCTCCGTGGTCTGGCTCGGAAGTAATGCAAGTGACTGAGCCAACATCGAAGCCTCCATCAAGGGCGGTGTCGATGGCAGACACGCCACTGCTGATCTTCAGTCGCTTCACTGGTCGCTCCTGGTCGATGTTTGCTTCGTGATATGTTGACCAGATGTTAAAAGCAAGGAGTGGCTCGGAGGGTGTTGCCATGTTAGCAGAGAAGCAGAGCAATGAAATGGTTGGGAAGAATCAGCACTTCACTCTGACTCTTTCACCGATATATTCCCTCCACTGTGAGGAGCATCTGGAATCATCCGTCCAGACGCAACAAACTCATTCCAGGCATTTCATCTACTCACTAAACAAAGTGGGAAGAGATTGAGCAAGAATTCGGTGCTTCTACACTACCCAAACCCTAACCCTCTCGTCGACATTGGAAACACCGGTCGCAGATCGACCCTTCCTTCCTTTCAGTCATCACCGGATTACGCTACAATTTGGCGCCGGATCCTACGATGCATAAACTTTTCTCCAAGGCGACGGTATAGGATGCCTCATACCAATTCGGGAGCGGAGGAATCCTCTCCATGACAAGGTAGATCCTAGCGTGGTGGAGCTGGAGTTGGTGGTGTCGGAGACCTCTCCTTCAAGCTTGGATCGACGCAACTAACTCTTCGACTGCATCTTCCAATCCTTCAGGAGCGGGGCGAACACTTCTAGAAGCCTGTGGAGGGAACGGCTGAGCATCACGTTGCACGCTTGATCGACGTGCGCCGGTTTCAAGACGCCAGAGTCGCACAAACTATCATCACCGACGCGTATAGGACCGGTTTTGGTGCTCCTTTGGGTACGGAATGTAGTCACAACGGCACGCCTTGTCYAAGATGCTGGGATACCTTTGCTTGCTTAGGTTGTGGCCTTTGATCTCTATAAGGATCTCCCTGGGGAATCCCTGAACAGCATATTTCTCCACCACCACAGCCTCCTCATCTGCCCCATTCACGATGAAGGGCCTTCTCACATCTGCATGCATCGCACTTGCGACGTGCGTAAGCTCCGCCCTGGGCTCAGTGTCATGGACTGGAGCCAATCTGTACTACCTCCAGGGAATGTCTGATGCCGATGCAGACGCCTATATCAGCAAACTGAGCGACTTCGGGGCGAAGGTTGTGAGGCTATGGGTTAACGGTCAATCCAAGGGCTGTCAGAAAGGCAGCAACATTGTCCGGGACATTCCCCAGCTTGAAACTACTCTTGGCCAGTACAACCAGGTCACACTTGACGAGCTCGACAGGGTGTTGGTCAAACTCGCGGCCAAAAACATCAAGGCAATCATCTCTCCGCATGACTCCAACTCTCTGATTGGAGATTACCGAAAGTGAGCACAATACTTCCGCTAGTGGCTTTCCCGTCTAATCGATATACAGGGACGTGTATTACGCTCGCTGGGGTGCTGGCTACTTCTACGAACAGCAAGATGCTTTCACTGCATATGACAATCGCCTCACCTACATCTTAAACTACAAGGGCAAGTACTCTGGCAAGGTGTGGAAGAGCTGGCCCCAGGCTATCGTGAGCTTCAATCTGCAGGTAAGGTCCAATTCCCTGCGATTGGTGATCTTTTTTTTTTTTGACAGAGTGAATCCAGAATGAGCCCATGACTCCTGGTCCAAGCAATTGCAAGAATGGAGATCCTTATGGCTGGGCTTGTGGTCGCGCTCGTAAGCTACGCAGTCTCCTCGGATCCAACACAAACACCTTGGTCTCTACMGGTGGCCTCGGTGGTGACATCTCCCACTCATGCACATTCCTCCCTGCCGTGACCCAGTGCGATGCAGTCGATGCCATCTCCATCCACCGCTACGCCAGTGTTCCAGGTCGATGGAGCGATTCCCTATCTGGCTGGATCAACCAATCCAATGGCAAGAAAGTGTACATCGAGGAATGGGGCATCGACTCGACCAAGTATGACCAAAAGTCGGCTTTTGTGTCCGAAGTCAACAACATGAACTCAGTCGGTCTCCCTAGCATGTATTGGCAGATTCTTCCTCCGGCAACAAGCAGCTGTGGTTACAGCCCTAATCAGGATTCTGGTGATCCATTTGGCATCTTTTACAATTCTGGGACCAACTTTGCTGGCCCCATGAAGGGTGCTACAGGTGTACAGGCCGCACAAGATTGGAGTGGCAGCGTTTACTGAGTGGGAGGAACGGGAAGAGAAGACAGAACAATGGAATGCTGAAATGCAGAGAGACAGACTCGTATAAGATGATTTTCACGGCCTCGAATTTAACGGAACACATTACGCAAAAGCTGACATTACACTTCCGATTCTGTGTACCTCTTGTGCCGCACGCCGATAACTTCGATTAGGCGGTTGCACGGCTTATCTTGATTCTGCCTGCCTAGCAAACCGATCGCGGCGAGCTCCACCTGCTCTGCTTTTTCACCCAACTCTGCTTTCAGATTACAGAGATCAGGATCAACCCCACCTCAAGACTCCACAAGGACTGCCAGACATGTCTTCAGAGGTTCCCACGATCGACATTTCCGCCTTTCTTGATTCCTGCAGCTCTCAAGCCGCTAAAAGCAAAGTCGTCGACGAGGTCAAAGCAGCTTGTTCACAATATGGCTTCCTTCAAATCGCCGGTCACGGTGTACCAGTGGAATCACAGCGCGAAATATTGAGATGCTGTAAAACTTTGTTCGATCTTCCCGTCGAGTCCAAGGAAGCACTGTCGCTGAAAAACAGTCCTTCGCGTCATGGCTACGAAGGGTTAAAACAGCAGGTACTCGACAAGACTGCGCTTCCAGACGACAAGGAAGGCTTTTATATCGGGAGAGAGGAGCCGGAGGAAAAGGGCTTCAGACAGGCACGTCTTCTCCACCTCATCCTTCCGAGTATCCAAATGTTGACGATTCTCAGGGACCAAATCAGTGGCCAGACCTTCCAATTGACATGTTCCGCGGTCCAGTAGAAGCATACTACAATAGTATGCTTCAACTTGCAAGCAAGCTCCTGGAGATCATCGCTCTCGGCCTTGCTGTTCCGATCGAAAATCTTGCCTCTTTTACTCGTGAACCGGCTTGTAACCTAAAGCTACTCCACTATCCACCTCATCTCTCCAAAGACAGWCGTCAAGCAGGAGCAGGCGCCCACACGGACTTTGGCACTTTGACTATCCTCCTCCAGCAACCGGACAAGCATGGTCTCCAGGTCCACCACCAGGGCGAATGGCTTGACGTGCCAGCACGGGAGGATATTTTCGTCATCAATGTCGGCGATCTCCTTGGGAAATGGTCGGGAGGCGTGTATAAGTCCACCCTCCATCGGGTGATCAATGCAAGTGGCTCAGATCGTTATAGCGTTCCATGCTTTTACGAGGGAGACTACACCGCCACAAATCCCTTCGATCCCTCGCAGAAGGGCGGCGAGACCGTCGAGGACCACATCAAGAAGAAGTTCAATGTCTCGTACGGCTTGTAGTTCAAAAATGGATGGAACGAGCATGATGAAAGCATCTACAGCCGCACTGTTTAGACTACCCAACAACAACCCTCAAACTCATCTAACCCTGAAATGCTTTGTTAGCCACACCCTGGCTCACATCCTCGGAATGCTGTGCTGCTAGGGAATCTTTATACTGTGACAGAACACTCTGGTCGACCGTCTCATCAAAGACGTCGACTTGTGTGGAAGCAAAGTTTCTCGCGCTGACTTTGCGCTCAAATAGAAGATCCAGCTCGGCAAAGGTACGTCCTGCTGGCTCCGGGATGCGGAAGTAGGTGTAGACGATGCAAAGGAAACAGCTGCCTCCCCAGAACTGGTAGAATAGTCAGTACGTGTACAAGAGTTGTGGTGGTGATGGTGGGAGACTCACAAAGCCTGCATAGTTACCCCAGTCCCAAGCAGATTGGTTCAGCATGTAAGGAGTCAACACCGAAGCGATGATTCCAACAATAATGTACAAGTTCCTGCCGAGTACGACAGTCTTGATTTGGAGTCGGCGGGTAGACATTTCGGAAACAAGAGAGTAGCACACCGTGCCGACGGTCAATTGGTAGACAGCCGCCCATACGATCCTGCGAGAAAATGGTTAGAGTGATGCTGATGATGGTGATCAGCGATGATCGTCTTACATCATGCCTCCGGTCGCGAGTCCAGCTGCATCTCGTTGGGACTCAGGCGCCAGGCCTAAGAATCCCATGATCATCAACATGACGAAGAGTCCACATAGTCCGTAGAGGTATAGGGTTCGTCGTCCGATGCCGCGAGACATCAAGAACCATGCTCCGATGACACCGACGATGTTGATTCCGTACTGTCCCATGGCGAAGTTGTATCTACATGATGTTAGGAGGCGTCAATCTCATCGAATCACCGTCAACTTACGAATTGCTCTCGCTCACGCCTGAGTTTGTCAGGAAGTATGTGCTGTAGTTGGAAAAGGAGTTGCCGGCAAGATTCTGCATTGCCCAAGCCATGCAGACGATTTCAGTCCTCCGCAGATCCGTACCCTTGAAGCAGTCCAAGTAAGAGGCTCCCGTGGTGATCTTCTCCTCGAGGGCAGTGGTGTGTGTCATCATGGCAATAGTCTCATCAGCGTCAAAGTCCGTCTCGCGATTCAACGAGGTGAGTCTCAGCAAGGCCTTCTTCGCGTCTGCGACCCTGCCGCGTCGGACCAGCCACCAGGGAGATTCGGGCGCGAAAGCGACTCCGATGATCAATGGTACAGGCCACATCCACTGCAAGGCGTAAGGAATGCGGTAGGCCCATTCGTCGTTTCGATCGACCATGCTCCTAATGACTCCAATGGCGATGAGTTGACCGATTCCCCAGCACATGTTGACATACGTAGTGAGCTAGTGAAAGGTCAGTGATCAGATATAACAACACTGTGAGGGAAATGGTAGCTCACATATCCTCGAAGAGCAACCGGGCAGACTTCAGAAGCATAAGTAATGCAGAGGGTCTGGAAGACACCCCATGGAATACCACAGAGAATTCCAGCAGCCAAGAGTTGCTGTACATTCTGCGCTGTGAAGAAAATGGCCGTAAATGCAATCACCAGACTCAGACAAGCGATGACCGTATATCTGTATCCAAATCGTTCGCTAACGAATCCATTGATGAGAAGTCCAATCATTTCGCCTACATTGGCACCGTTGCTGAGCGCGGCTTGCCATCTCGCTGGGACCTATCGACCGGTCAGTCCCAGATCTCCACAAGTCATCCACCATGGCGAAGGAGTTACTCACCTCAAACACTCCTGGCGAAATCTCAACACCATATTTTCGGTTGAAAGTCTCAAAAGCATAGAAGTTGTTGACAAGCGCCACATCGTATCCCTCCATGGCAATGCAAGTGGAAATTAGAACAGACCAAGCGATGGCTTTCGGGTAAAGACGGATTCCTTGCATTAGACTCATGCTCTGCTCGCTGTCCGATGCTCTCTTGGCGTCAAGTACAGTCTGCTTCATGGACTCGGTATGCTTGAGTTCATCATCGGCGGGAAAATGCAAAGGGCCTCCACGTTTCTCATTCTCGTCCTTGAGGACATTGTTGGTCCCAGTAGTGGGGTCCATGATTGCCAAGTGCCCTCAGGCGGGGTCGAGAGAAATTCGCAAGCCGTGGGCGGGCGCGAAGCTGGCGTTCACTGTGTTGAGCGAGGGTTGTTGTTGTTGGGAGAGCGATGACAGAAAATGAGACGAGAGCATGCAAAGATTTTGTACCCATGTGGAAAGGCTAGGAACATTCGAGAGTACCGAACGGGTCGGATTAGGGTAGCCTGAGGAGGTCGCGTGGTCGCGTGGTCAATCGCCGAGCCACCAATCGCAGTCTCCCGCTCGGATCATCATTTAACCTTTCGCCGATGCTAGTCCTCACTAACTTCCCCATGGGGAAGGCCGGGCCGGCTAGAAGTGCCACGGCGCTCGTTATACCTCCCTTCGGTGRTCTGTATTCCGCCTACAGATCCTGCATTAGTGTAGTCTAGGAACTTTATAAGCACTAACATTTTCTATAGCCCTACACACTAAAACAAATCGGTATTAATAAATAAAGTAGATGCTAAGCATAATAGAGAATAACTCGCACTTTCGTCTTAACTATGTAATTCCTAATAATTATTATTAATAATAGTAATAATAAGATAACTACCGATAGGCAATCCTTCCGCCTACGCTATTTCGAGCTCGCTAGCGACATTACGCTTACGCCTACCGAGTTTAACCTTACGAAGAGCCTACTTAATAACGTATAGAGCTATATTAAGACTAACTAGCCTACTAGTCGTTCGCCTACGCTAAAGGTCTACTATTAGTATATTTAGAAGAAGCGCTCTACGTACGAAGTAGACGATAGCGGCCCTAGCGTACGAAATAAGAAGGTATTCGTAACCGAGCCGTATAAAGTTACCTTCGTTATATACACCTTCTTTAGTAATAGCGAGCCTATATTAATTAAGCTTATACGTAGAGCGTTTAAGGGCCCTTATAGCTATACACTTAATAAGTATAATAGTCGTCGACCGAACGGCTTCTTAAAAGGCGTAATAAAGGATCGAATAGATAGCAGCCCTCGAGCTAGCCGTATAGTTAAGGTAATAAAGCAAAAGTACGGTAATATTAGCGGTAGGCAAGTAAACTTCTAATACGCCTATAATATAGGCCGTTAAACACCTAACTATAACCGTAAGCTCCGGTTTATTTAAAAGGGCGTAGATATAGCGGACTAGCAACTCGTAGAGGCGGACGACCGTATAATAGAGCTTAGTTAATACTACTAGCCTTTTACCGTGTCTACGAAGGACGGAATAAGGCGTAGATTAGTTATTATAATAGCGGAGGGTATAGCGTATTAGAAGCAATACGGTACTCTTATAATTATAGATGCTATATACTATATACTCGGCCTACCGTAGTTCCTCGTTAACTTAGTTATACGCGATAATAACGGCTCGTATCGGCCTATCGCTTATATAGTAGTTAAGAGCTAGTACGGCCTCGTCCTTATAGAAGGGCTCCGCGCGTTAAAGGTATAGGCTATCGATAACGAAAGCGGTTTAACTCTATAGTAGACTATTACGGATAACTCGTTAAGCGAGTAGAGCGCTATCCGCTTAGCCTTCGGTAATATTATAAGGCTACTACTCTACTAGCGACATATTAGCTAGATAATACGTAGTAAGTTCCCTATTAAAGGTAGATATAAGGCTACTTATAAGGCGCTCTTTAACGTAATGCTATATTACGAAACAGACGATAAGATTAAGGCTTAACTATAGCTTACTCTTAACTCGCTACTAGGTAGTAAAAACGATCGTCTTTACGTATACTACGTCCGTAAGTAGTCCTTTAACTACGTAGAGATATAGTATGCTAAGTTTCGAAAGGACAACCCTCTACTTATATAGATACGTACCTCTAACGTAGTTAAAGGCTAGTACTCCGACTATAAGAGCGGTAACGAGCTCGTAAAGCGTAGCTTCTTAATAGCCGGCTACTTGCTTAAGGCCTTCGTACCTAACGAGCGGTAGAACAATAACGCGTTAAATAAGGCTCTAAAAAAAGAGAAGCTACTACTCTAGTAGAGGCTACACTATTAATAGTTCGAGTTACTACCTATCTACGCGTAAGAGAAGCTCGGTAAGTAATACCGTATAGGCGTAAAGCGGTTCGATAGCCTTATACTATAGTAGTTCCGGTTCGAGCCTTTATTCGATAAGGAAACGCCTTTACGCTACTAGTGTTACTTTTAGTTCTAGTAGCGACTACCTTACGAACATATATAGTTTAATAGCTACTTCGAGGGTAACGAGCTTATAGTAGTGTAGGTAGCTACGTATTATAACCGCTTTATTAGCATTAATGCTACTTAACACTACGCCGAATAGCTACTTAACGATAGCGGAATACTATAGGTAGAGGGCGACGTGTTACTAGTATAAAAGCAACCGGCTACATTCGCTCTACTCGAGCGTAATTAATATGTGCTTTTATACTTAGTAGTTAAGTAGTTTAAAGAGTCGTTCTATCGATAGGCGGATATTACTAGCTAATAGCTCTCGAAAGTAGAACGCTCTCGTTATATTAACTAACTAGCTAGTAAGTACGAAGAAGCGCTCTCTTTCGGTAACCTTACTATCTCTAACTAGCGGAACGGTAATAACCGCGATAACCGCGATAGTAGCGATAACAGCGACAATACCGAGGAGCTATAGGAAGCTATTAATAATACGGYGGCTCGCTTAATAGATAAGGATATAATTATAGCCGTAGACGAGCTCGGTAAGTTTAATACGCCCTTAACGGTAGCGATAATAAACGAGTTCCCTCTTACTTAAGCGAGCCTTAATTTTATCGCTAAGACACTAATACGTATTCGTAACGGCTCGAGCCTTCGATAAGTTACCGGCGTTAACGATAATACGGATAAATCTATAGCGTAGCCGAACGAGCTCCTATAGTAATTACTAACTCTATTACTATATAAACTACCTCCGGAGGTTATCGTATTTAATAGGCAATTTGCTATATAGGACCTAGTAAGAGACTATTAGCGTTAGTAAGGGCGTAAGAGCACTACTAAAAGAGCATATAGATTAGATAGTAGTATAGATACGGATAGTATAGATATAGGTAGTAGATATAGGTAGTAGATATAGGCCTAAGCAATAGTATAGATATAGAGTAATACTAATTCAATTTAATTCGACCGTATATGTGCGTKCGCTAAGCAACTACGATAAGAACAATTAATAGTAGTTAATAAGAAGCTAGCTCTAATACCGGCAATCGACTTAACTTACTTAATTAAGCTATTAGCGGTATACAGCTTTTTATACATAGCCTATAGCTTAGTTACCTAGTGCGACAACGGCTAACCCAAAAGCAGGTGGTTTTTACAGCCAAATTCGGTAGCTTGGCGGGCGCACAGTCGCTCGGTAAGGAGCCGAAATTTAAAGTTGTAGGCCATATACAGACCACCCTCCCTTCGATTGGTCTGACAGTGGACCACCAGTCACCGATTGCCTTCTTCGAGTAAGCCGTGGATGCCAGTGGGGAAATGTATCGCCGACACTTGTCGTTTGTTGCCAATTTGCGGAGATACTCTCCCCCGGGAAGTGAATTAGGCCCGGTCCAGCTTGTTGGTTTGTACATATGTACTTGCATGCTGTCGGTTTCTACTGCCATCGTGTGCCATCGTGTGCCTCCGGCTTCCCTAGCAACAGTTCTCTTGCATCTGTGAGAGAAAGCTTGTGGGCGCTCTAGCCGCTGGAACTGCTCGCCCTGCTTGATGTGTGCCGGACACTGGAAAGTCCATTCCGAGCCACATCCACATACTACCAGCACTTGGAGGTTGTGAATGAATGTATGCCCAAGACATGCAAGATAAGAACGCTTCAACGCTCACGTCACCGTCCACCCTTCTTTCCCACGACATCGGTCCAGGCTTCCCATCCATATCTCGAGTCTCTGCGTCATCCACTGCGACCGAAAGCCCTCCTGCGCACGTCCAATACGTGGCGCTTTCCCTGTAAAGCAACCCGCGGGACCAAGAGCATACTGCATACACCATGCATTAGCTGCACATCGAGCTCGACACTCTTCCATCGTGGCGTCCTCGGTACCAGGATGGTATGTCTCGGGCGAATTGGTCCAATCCACTCGTTCAGACATCAATTCCGGCATGACAAAGTGCTTGAAGACTTCCCGATGATGTAGAATGGAGCTATGATCCGACTTCCAGAACGCAAGATCTGACCAAAAGCTTGGTTTGCGATCTTGCAATGATTGAATCCAGTCTTGCTCAAACTTCCACAGATCTGCGACTTGTTCCGGCGTAAAGTGATGATAGCTCAAAACCGGACTGCACCACAATGTATTCTTGCCTTTCTTCTGCTCAAACTGCATCTGATCGGACGGGTTACCGCCTTGGAACATCGGCCATGTCCAGGTCAAAGGAACGCCCGCCTCCTTCAACGTGATCCCCAGCACACAGTCTCCAGCCCAGTGTGTCCCGGTCATGGCATGATGGCCCGTCGTATTCGATCTGTAAACCTCGACACCGTTCTGAAGAGCAGGCCTTGATAGAAGAAAAGCCGAGCCACCATGTGCGAATAGATCCTCACCTATCAGATTTTCACTCCCATAGTAGGCGGGTTTGCTTGGGTCAAGTTCCTGGATCCATCGTAGAAAGTTGCTCCAAACCACATAGGTGTCCGGTTCGACGAACAGGTACCACTTCTTCGTTGGGTACATCTCAAGAGTGCGATTAATCATTGGCAAGAACTTCCACTTATCCAACCGCCACCCCGCGTTGTTGTTCTTTCCAAACTTGCCAACTTCTTCACTGACACCACCAGAGAGTTCCGAGGCATGAAGACCTTCGCCTGAGCAGCCTGCGAGTTAGTAAATCTCTTTCACCTTCTTGAATGATACGTACGTCCGACTTGCTGGATATGGCGATAGTGCATGAAATCCATGTGCGTGTTGATGACCTGCTGTGGCATATCTGCAAGTACATTGTGCACCCGTCGTCCCCGAAAGTCATCTTCTTCATGGTCGGAAAAGATCACGACATCCCCATAGCATCGGAATGTCGTATCATAATGAATCTAGAGAGAATCATCAGCATATCCTGTTCAGGCGGTTCCGTCAAATATGATGAACCTACCGGCAGCTTATCTCTGATCTCGCTCGCTCCAGTTCTCATCACCACCAGAACATCATCCACACCCGGTAGTCTTCGACAAGGCAGGGGTTCCACGCTCAAGCTTCCAGCAGTGGGTTTCTCCCCTTCGTCGGCCTCGCCTCCGGTGCTCAAGGAAGTGCCTGCAATATGTGTCTCCCCAATCCTAGCCAGACAACTCGAAATCAGCAATATTGTCAACACCACTGCAACAATCCCAGCAAGTTTGACCGTCCGCGGTAGCTGCACCAAAAGCATCGCGAGCGCTTGAGTCGTGGTTCAGTTCCAGTTCCAGTTCCGGCGTACTGACTCTTGCAAAAGAAGATGACGAAAAAACGCCCCAAGAAAAGAAGGCAAACAAGAAACAAACAACCAGCACCTCGTAAAGATCATATCATGATAGTGTGTGGTATCAAGCACTTGCCGTGTCGGGAAGACGGCCTCATGACAAAGTCATCGTCGAATAGAAGCACCCATGTCACGGAACATCTGTTTGACAGGCATTGCATTGCGCGTCCTTGATTCAATGCATCCACACGGGCTGTGGAGCGGATCCACAACGCGTGTCCAAGCTTCTAATGTGATGCATGACAGATCTGTCTGCATGCAAGCCTCTTTACTCCAAACATCTGTCGTGGTCGTAGAAGACGTTGATATGGATGTTTTTCTGTGAAAGGGGACGAAGTCGCATAGTTTGCGGTTATTTTGCAAAGGTTCGATCGGATCGTGGGGCCAATGGAAATGGTTCATGTAGATCTTGTCCACGGCGTTGGCGTGCCGCGAAATGATGATGCTGGGCACTGCTGGGCAGACGATGTGTAGAGCGTAGGTAGAGAAGACTCGTGGAAGACGTGCTGAACATGTTCAAATGTATTATTGTACCAACGCTGGTCAATTGGCGATTGGGGCCTTTTCTGCTGGCCCCTTCGATGTTTCCCTCGAGGTACTATGACACCCTCTTCCCACATTATTCCATCTACATGTACAAATATGCTTCCATCGAAGACATGCGCCGTTTGTTCATCCAATTCGTTAATCATCAAGGTCCAACATTCAATCATCATCCAAACCACATAGCCCTGGAGCTGGACAAGCTGTAGTAGGAGCCATGTGTATCTGCCAGTATTTCGAAAGACTCGCATCGTAATCTCTCGCGCTTTCATCATACTCGGGATGTGTTATCTCTTCCCGGAGGATGGAATGTCTGTGGCCAGCTCTCAAAAAGTCCACGAGCTGCTCGGTGATCTTGACGTATTGGAGGACTGCCTCATGTGCGTTGATCGTTGAGCCCGTGGTCCATGAGAGTAGAAATGGCTCGATGAGTGGTGCGTCGGTCACGGAAGGGTGTGTCGTGCCTTTGGCAGTTACGAACCAAGCGAATTGTTTTCTCTCTTCTATAATCTTCCGAACCAGGTCCTTGACGACGGAAAAATGCGGCCTATGGTCAAAGATGGAGTGTTTCGCTGACCTAGACAAGACAAGTCAGTTCTAATACACTCAATGCAAGAGGCATTCAAAGACATACCAAGACTGTGAGTGTACCACGACGACTGGCACTCCAACATCGTCATTCAACGGACCAGACTGCTTCCCCGGATCGAACATGATGCCCCCGACAAATGGCAGCGCCTCAGAAGGAGCGCCCTTTAATACCTGCAGAGCCAGTGTAGCACCATAGCTGTGCCCACCGATGAGGAACTTGTTGGTATCCAATCGTCCCCTCCACTCTGCCAAATCTCGCCCCTCCAAGCGTGTGTTCGCGCGGAATACTTCTCCGCCCCGCCCGTCGTTGAGCATCCTCAACACCCGTACCGTCTCTTCCACCTCCGCCTGTCGCATCGTCAACTGCATGACCTTGAATTCCGGTGTCTCGGGCTGGGGGCTCAACATTTCCGGCGTCAGATGAAATCGTCTCCTAGGTTTCATCTTTTCCCTCATAATGACCGAGGCCGGCGCTGACCCATCTCTATGCTCAATCGCCGCAACGACGATTCCCCTTGATGCCAGTTCCGAGCAGTATGCGGAGTAGTCCGTTCGTGAGCCCGCCATTCCGTGCGAGAAGACGATGACGGGGAACTTGGGTCTGCCATAGTCTCCGTCCAAAGGATGTTCGGCTTCGTAGTCGATATATGTCTTGACAGTGCCGTGGATCGGGGTGTCGACATTGGCAGGGATCTCGGTAGATCCAACCAGACTCCACAAACCGAACGTGAAGATGCCGTTTGTCAAAAAGTTGTTGACTTTTGCGAATCGTGCGTATCCCTCTCCCTTCAAGGATAGAGGTTTGGGTACCCATGGATGGTGTGTCTTGGAGACAGCATCTTTGTTGGTGGGATAGAACAGGGAGAACAAGACGGTAGAAACCTCAAACGCTCGTTCCCCCTCTTGATCCACCACCTTTGGCGTCTGTCTGCTCTCGCACGGGACTTCGATATCGATGGTGCCAACGTTGAACGAGCCGGTCGGGTTCGGAAGTTTGGAGGAGAGCAATGGCATGTCGAGGAGGAGATGGGCGAGGATGTAGATGGATATGGCGGAGCACAGCACGTACTTGACACTCCACCGCGGGCGAAAACGTAGGTGCAGAGCCATTTTTCAGAGCCGCGGCGCGTCGTCGTGCTTTGAATCATGCATCTTTCGAGAATTAAGGTGCGAGGTAGCGCGTGGCCGCGCATGGAAGGGCAAGCTTTTGGACGATGAACGCTTCGTCGTCATCCAAAAAACTTTACCAACTTCGATCGTCCGAGGGAAGGTGCGATCCGCCTTGATTTTCCACTGCGAATGGACGACGTCTTCAATCTTCCCAAGCCACTCCGCTCCATCCTCACGGCCTCGAACGAACGATCGAATGTAGGAGGGGCGCAGTCTTRCGGAAGCTTCCCTGAGGTGGGTTGTCCGCAGCTTGAGCTACAACATCTGCTTGCTTGCTTGGCCGCACGCATCCTGTACGCGATGGTGCTTCCGTGGGATGATTGATGAAACAGACATCATTTGCAGGAACGCAATGGATGGCATACCCAGACCTCTGCCGCCTTCCTCCTCCTTCACCCACGTCAGCTGCGGCCAACCTCCACCTTTGTCCGTGTCAGATCGTTTAGATGCGGCTGCGGCTGAAGGGCCGGCGCTCAACGCAAAGGAGCCACCTACATTCCCACAAACAACATCAAGGCGCAAGATTCCCCATCTCCCATTTCCTATGATACCATTCTTATCATCTCTTGTCAAAAGACTCCATCTCAAGCACAATGACCCCCCCAGGAACAGCAAAAATGATCTCACCGCCACCGTTCCTCCCAAATCCCCAGAAGACCAAGTCGAATCCTCCAAGGACAAAAAGGTCATAGAATACCTAACGCAACACCCCATTCCAATCCTCAAAGTCCTCGTCATAGGCGCTCCAAACTCGGGAAAACGTTCTCTCTGTCAGCGATACCAAGACAACGTCGTGAGCAYGCAACACGATCCGCTAGAAAACGGGYAATATCGCCGCACAATTCATATGCCATTATCGATKTCCAGAAAGAACCCTGTCCAGCCGAGGAGTGATCAGGAATTGAGAGTACGGCTCGAATGGACGACTCTACTTTCCGCCGCATTAGATATGCATCAGGAGGTGCTACGGCAATTGGTAAGGGACCATGAAGCGTACGTTCTAGTGTATCGTGTCTCTGAGAGAGAGGGTTATGAGGCGATTGTGGAGCTTTATAGGGAGTTCATCGCGGAACGGAAGTCTACTACTACCTGCTTATTCGTGGTGGCGAATGGGATGKATGTACCAGTCGAAAAGCGGACTGTCAGTGGAGAAGAAGGAAGACGGTTCGCTGAGAGCTTGGGAGCGGAGTTCCGGGAGGTGTCGGCTAGGACGGGAATTGGATATGGTGGGGAGGATGATATTGTTTTGATGGCGAGAAGTATCATATTAGGGACGATCTCAGCGAGGAAGTAAGACGGCGAATCGTCCAATCGGGCTAACATCAGCAGGAGAAGAGCTCCCGCAGGATTGAGAAGACAACGCCTCCTATTGCAAGGTTGACCGTTGAAAGTCTATGGAAAGAATCATTCACCCAGGTGTTTTCATCAGAGACGCCAGACCGTCGAAGCGCGCGTTCCATTCAGAACAAATCCTTTCTTACCCTCCCAAATCCACCCAAAAGGCGCAGATAGCACGACTGAGGGACGCACCATTGATCTTGCACTTCAACAACATCAACTCGAACCTGCTCACGTTCCAGCACACCGTTGCACTTCCTTACCATCGCCATAGTATCAACCAGATACTGCACTGTGTCTTCCAGACGTACGTGCATCCGAAAAGACTACTCTGGAGGCCCAGTCTCTGCCGGTGGTTGCGACTCAGAGGGATCAGCAGCAGTAGGTCCTGCAGGGAGTGTCTCAGTCGGTGTTGGAATAGGGACCGCACAAACCGAAGATGAATCCTCCTGTCTCCTCGAAGATGTAATCAGCTGAGTTTTCTTGACCAACAGCAAGATTCAAATCTAATAAGATGGTGGAGATGACTCCAAGCAAAGCAAAGGATTTGACCATGTTGAATTATACACACACGTTGAATCAAGATTAAAGATGGGAAACTTTCACTTAGCCAGCCGCGGTAGGGCTTTTAAATTGGAATGCCAACAGAGGCACTGCCATACCAACGCTCGAGGATCTGGTCTGCAGGACATGTTTCGAAAGGTGTGGGGGAAACCAACAGCTCAGCCTTAAATGCATATTGGACATGTTTTGGAAAGGTGTGAAGGAATCCAGCAGCTCAGCCATTGGACATGATCCTGCGTTGTTCAAGCCCTGTACTCACATAGCGAACTGGATTGAAATGCAGAGTAATGTAAGCGACGGGGCTTAAGAGCGAATCAGGCCGAGGCCACCTTGGACGAGGGTCTTGGAGTAGGAGTAACAAATGAAGCCCCCACGAGCTTTATTGCTGTCGAAAGACGTATGCATGCTTCTCCCTTGGTGCAGTCCTTCAGCTCCCGGCTTTTTGTACGCACTTGGCATTGAGAGGGGGGAGTGAAGAGTTGTTATTAGCAGATGCTCCAAAACTACCCGAACGCTGTAAGGTAGCTCGATTTAAGCTTAGCAATGACACTCATGGCTGTCATCAACTATTCCTCATACATCATGTCCTATCTCATGCCTTTGTGGTCCTGTTCCTTTCAACTCCCGATTGGAGTGCTGTCTCGGCTGTGTCGCAGACAGAATGGAAGCCAGCACGAGTGTGCGCTTGCGATTTGTTGGTCTCATGTCTTCGTGCGGCGGCATGTAGATGCCAGTATTTTGCCTGGTGTCCTGGGTATGGTCGGCTGCCATCGGACTGGTGTGCTCTGAAGTGTTTGGATTGCGGGTGCAGCTTGAAGACCAGTCTCGCGGATACTCGAACAGTGATTCCTAGAATGCCAGATGCTCGTTTTTCCTCCGCATGTAGACCAACAAATCCTTCCCACCGAATATGATCTTGCGCTTGTATGCTCGTTCTTCCTCATTGTGCTTCCCACGTTTCCAAGACACCATCACTTGTCCATCTTGACCACCTGAGCCAACTCTTTCTTCACAGTAGCAGCAGCGTCTTTTGCCGCATCTCTCGGGATAGTAAGATCCGGCACTCCTCCATTCCCGTTCGCCTTGCTCTCCTGACCCTGCGATTGCAATGAAATATGCTGCATAACAATCTTCAGCGCATCATCGTACGTCTGCGCCTCGCCGCTACGGAATAAACGCTCGACGTATTCGCGGAGATTTTGTGACCATCCCGCTTCATCGAGGCGTTGCTGGAAGGTATTCTGGATGCGTCGGACTCCGCCGTTTTGGAGGAGTGCCATGGTGATTTCGTCTTGGGTGGTTGGATTGTAGATGGAGGTTGTGCCGTTGATGGCGACTTTGGGTTTGTCTTCGCCGGCCATGTTGGATGATGCACGTTTGCCAACGCCGTCGGTGTACAATGGTTGTGGTTTGAGGATTGTTGCATCAATGTTGATTGCAGGGAGCTTGCCCGCTAGAGATCTGCGAATCCGATCGCCCGCATTGAGCTTAGCGAAATGCGGGGTCAGGGCTCCTTCCTCCTCTGGGAAGTTGTAACAACTTTCGTCCAAGTGAATGGAAAACACAAAGTTTTGATACAACGCAGACCTCCTCACTGCTTCAAAGCTACAGTTTGATCAAAGTCAAGTCTTTCTCCTCGAGACCTATCCAACGCCGTCATTGGCTTCACCAAAAGAGAGCTCCAACGTTGTACGCGAAGCCGATAAGTCATCTACGGCTGATAATTGGTGTCGAGAGCAGCAAAGATAGATGAGGAGATTGTCTCCTTGATCATCAAACCGACTTCATTGCGCGTTCAATTCAGGAAGGACGTTGAAGAATTTCCTCAACATCACGTATAACAGTTGAAGAAGAGGAGATTGGTTGAAGTGCAGTCTGTTCTATGTGATGAGAGGCCGCTCAGTTGATGAGCGGTGTGAAGGATGAGAGACCGTTCAGTTGCTGAGCGGTGTGGAGGATGATGAGAGACCCCGGGTCAACGACGACCATCCCCCATTCCAAAGCCGAGGATTATCGAACGCGTAAGCTCATCAGCCAATCCATCAACGATCGGACGTGCATTCAAACACATGGGAGAGAGGATCGCTGGTTCGTCGAGCTATTTGTGGTAACSGCCTTGGCGAACAGTCAACGTTGAGCAGCCGCTCCGCGCTCGTTGAACAGTCGGTCGGGTCCCTGGAGCGATCGGGCTGATTCTCTCTCCTCGGACACAGGCAAGACGACTGGCCACTTTCCTCCGCGCACGCTGAATTCCGACGAGACTGTGCCAATGGTTATCAGTGGGCCTGCGTTTGGACGCTCCGATCGTGACGGCGTCTGTGTTGTTGCAAATTGTCCCAACCGAGCGTCTTCACTGTTCAGCTGTCTCGCGCCGTCCGGGTCTGGCCTGGTCTGCTCTGCCTTTGGTGGTGAGCACTGGCTCCGACGCGAACCGCCGATGTGGACGGTGGTGTGCTCGTGGTTATCAACAAGCTGGTCGGCGGCACACGTCCCAGAGGCGTTCGTTGGAAAGCGGCTGCACGTTGAATCGGTGCGAGGTCCGGCGTGCTCGTGGCGAATCGTCGGCGAGCATCGTCCGGCGCCAAAAAGCTTGACTCCAACGTAACTTGGCAGGAGAATCTTCATTTGCCACTAACTTCTGTAGCTTCCCGCACCATCACAAGCTTCCAAAGTCGATAGCCAGCGCTTGAGTCACCTTTGGCTTGTCAAGTCGTTCTGATGGGACACGACGCATGCTCGAACCAGAGACGGAAGCCCTTGGTCATGACGGCAACGCCCTCGAACTCACGTCCCCCGAAGCGCATGCGAGGCTGAAACCGGTAAGCCGCAACACGTTCGAACCTTGAACGATGATCGAATCGACTGCTAGCGCGGGCTTGCAAAAGAACTCGATTATAGGGAGTTGCTCAAGGGCGGGCTTCTGATTGGCTCAATGCTATTCTTTCGCCCAGATTTGGATCCTCTGCCTTCTTCTCCGCCTTCTGWATACGGAAGAGACCGTCGCTTAGCGTTACTCCCCGGAACTTTCACCCCTGGGCGTTCACACGGCGGCAAGCCCAGGCGCATGGCTTTTCGTTACGGATTCATGATGTCTCCCCGCGTCCACGGCCAACGACGAGACGACCGGATAGCAGCAGGACTGGTCCTAACGATGACGCTGCAAGACGACGTTGAGCTTGACGTTCCACTGAGAGAACGCGGAAACGTTCGTCACAACAGCGCTCGAAGGCTCGAACCGCCTCATGCACATGCTTGAGCTTCGACCCGCCCACACGCTGATCGTCAGGAACAAGCGAGGTCCTTGCTCACTTTAATCTCGAAGCGTTGATTATTAGGGAAACTCTGTCCAACAGCTAACAGGCTTGCAATCTCCGTGTTCGCCTGCTGACTTTACACTGAGTAAGAGTCGGCCCTGATATAAACGCAAGGATACATCCTCGTCCTTATTGTTCATCAACTTACTCACTCTTCTCTTACTATCTTACTCACTTGACTTCGGTCGTCCTCTCTTTAAGAACCAGCTATCTAGTCCTTCTCTACTTCCAGACCTTTTACCCATCCTTTTCTCCGAAAATCAAATCTACCGTCAACATGCAGTACGCTTTCGTCGCCGCCGCCCTTGTGGCCTCCGCCATGGCTATGCCATCTTACGCTCCCCCAACCTACGAGGCTCCATCTGCCCCGGAGGCACCAAAGAGCCCCGAGCAGCCAGCCGTCTACCCTGCTCCATCCCACGAGGCACCAAAGCAGCCAGAGCAGCCCGCTACCTACTACAGCTCTGCTGCCGCTTCTACCACCTGCACTGAGGAGAAGGAGGTCCCAACCCACCCAGCCCAGAAGACCGAGACCAAGCCAGTCTACGAGACCGCCACCTACGAGCAGCCAAAGGAGACCAAGAGCGTGTACATCCCAGAGTCTTCCAGCGTCTACGTCCCAGTGGTGAGTTGCCCCGGCAATCGACCCCACAACATTTGCTGTATCAGCTGCTAACGATCTTTGCAGTACTCTTCTGAGTCCGCCAAGAAGCCCACGTACGAGACCATCTACGTCACCAAGACATACTCCCAGGAGATGCCAAAGGAGACCGCGCCTGCTGTAAGTGCCATGACAAGTTCATGGTTGGTTCAGAAAGTTGACTTGTCGCAGGAGAAGACCCCAGTCGTCTACACCAGCGTGTACGCCAGCGTGATCACCAAGACATACGAGTCCCCGGCCAAGCCAACCATGCCAGTCTACGTAAGAAGAATTCCATCGCTGCTTCGAGGAGAGGATYACCCGCTAACATGGCATCAATGTAGTCTCCCCAGACCCCAGCTCAGCCCGAGACTCCTGTCTACAAGCCAGAGACTCCAGCGCAGCCTCAGACTCCCGGCTCTCCAGTGACCCAGATTCCTGACGGTCAGGTTCAGGTCCCTGCCCAGCCAATGCCAGCACCTGAGACTCCCAAGTCTCCCGTTGCCCCAGCGCCATACCAACCAGCGCCTGCACCAGAGTCTCCAGCTATGCCTCAGACTCCTGCCTCCCCAGTGACCCAGATCCCTGACGGTCAGGTCCAGGTTCCCGCCCAGCCAATGCCAGCACCTGAGACCCCCAAGTCCCCCGTCTCCCCCGCTGCTCCTTACCCATACCCAGTCGGCAGCGCACCCGCCGTCTACGCACCATCTGGCACCGGCGCTGCCATGCCATCTGGCACTGGAAACGTCTACCCATCCGCACCAGCATACACTGGTGCCGCAAGCGCCGTGAACGCCGCTGGCTTCGTTGCCGGTCTCGGTKCTTTCGCTGCCTTCTTCTTCTAAGCGTCTCGTCTATTCATGGGAATGTCTGATACGGCTATGAGCAATATAAAACATACATAACGAGGCAGCGAGTTTGTCTCTTAATGTAATCCGATCAGCGGGAAAAAAGGATTCATAGCAGTCAGGCTGGCGTTTTCTCAGTCAATATTCTCTCTTGGTTATACAATGCATGTGGTTTTCGATGAAGTTCTTGATCAATCTTCTTTCTATTCATGTCTTCGGCTACATTCACGACAGTAATGTGAGTGTAGAGGTTTGTTAGTCGTTCGAAGCTTCAGAATAACGCGGACGTGATGACCCAACTGTAGCGCCACGTGTGGCGGTCTGATGAAACATCGAGAAACATCGAGAATCTGAAGCTACCTTATGTTCAGTCCTAGGTAGGGGTGGTATTACTAAAAAAGCAATTAGATTAGCTGTATTAGCTTTAAAGTGAATAAAGCTAATAGAGCTAATTCGTACGTTAGTACGAAGGCCGGCCCGCGCCGAGTAAGCTAATCGGAGCTTTTACCGCTTGTTTATATCTATAACTTACTAAGAGTAACGGGATAAGAGCTAGGGTTTAGGTAGGAATATAGCTATATCGTCGACGATAGCGTAGTTAATTTTCACTTAAATTACTTTATTATTTTCCCGTTATACTCGCCTTAATCGGTTCTATATAACGGGAAATTAACTTCGTTTATTATTATAGTTAGACGCTATATAAATATCGTAAATACTAAATTTAAGGCTTTTATTTATCCTAACTATAAGTTATAGCGTATTCGCTATATCTACTATAGTAATTAGTACTATAGTAAGGACGCTAAGAACGACGTTAAGAAGGCTTATCTCGATACGTATAAGCGCTATTAATAACACCTTACTACACGTATAATTAAGGAGCCGAAGGACAATATACTAATAAAGGAAGGCCGAATTACCGACTTTTAAAGTACCGTATACCGAAGTAATAACGCGACCTTATATAGGCTTACGCGCTCTTTACTAGCGGATTAGCCTACCGAACTATAGATAAGACGGCGTACTCTAAATTTAGCGACTTTATCTATCTATTCGACTAGGCGTACGAGTTCCCTAGCCGTTACTATATTAGTAAAGAGCTACTTAAGTTAGACTATATAATTACGAAAGAGAAAGTAGATAAGGTAGTAAAGAGCCTATAATACCTTAACCTTACTACGGACGAGAGCGATAGTAATAGTAGTACGCGATACGCTAACCTCTACTACGTTACTAAGGGCATTACTTTTCTACTTAATTACGTAGATCGTAAGGGCTATAATAACGACGGTAAGTAGCTTACTAAGCTGCTTATTAGCTAGGCTAATACGTAGACGGATAACAACCTTAACCGCTAGAACTCTATAGTTACGGATACGTATAAAATAATAAGGTTAATATACCGTAGATTAGTAGTAGATCCCTCTATAGCGTATATATTCGCCTCGCTTTACGATAGCTATAGTATATAGCTATTTATTAAGGACTTTATAACCGATAGCCTCGGTAAGTAAGTAAAGGGGATAACCTACTACGTACTTACCTTACGAGAGGTATGCTTCCTTAGTAGGCTCCTTAAGCGCTCGAAGAAAACTATCGCTATCCTTCGATAATGCGCTACTAGTTAGAATACGGTTCTAAGAGCGTTCGTAATCGCTATCCTTATACGATAGGGATTATATTATATAGCTACTAACTTACTTATTAAAGGACGAGATGTCCTTATCTATATAGCGCTTACTAATAAGCGGCTATTTAGAAGTAAGGGCGCTATAATATCGAAGGGCGGTAAGAGGGCTCTTAACTTAATTAAGAATACTATTAAAATAAGCAGGTACAGAAAGGAGAGATAGAGCATAGTTAGCTAGTATGCTTAGTAATGCTAAGCATCCTATAGTTGCATGTTCCTTACTTTAAGATGCTTTAATAGCTAACTTAATTAACTACATTAATTCCTACTTTAAGTGCTATATGCATTAGGCTATTAGCTAGTTAAAGATTATTATCTCTTATTTCTACCTTTACCCTACGACCCTCTAGGAGATCTAGATGCGCTTTTATATTATTACGGATTAATTTCTAATAGGTTATAAGCCTAGGTTTGCTAAACCGAAGGAAAGAACTTTAACCTTAAAGTAGTAAAGGTATCTTCTACCTTACCTTATAAGCTAAAAGAAGAAGAAGGAGTATATATCCTCCTTCCTGCCCTATAAGAGATACTAGGATTAGTATATAAATAAGATAGGAAGAAAAACTCTATACTAGATAACGGAGTCTAAACGCTACTACTAATAGTTAAGGGCCTATTTACTAAAGCCCTATACCTACCTCTCCTCCTCTACTACTAAAAGCCTTAGTAGGACTAAGCTACTATAAATAATATTTTAATTCTATAAGAAAGATAGAGGAAGATAAGAGCATAAGTAACTCTTAGGTTAAGATCCTAATCCTAATTAGAGAAAACTAGAAGAGATAGTTTAAACTCTAAATAGACAATCTAGAAGGAAAGGAAATATTTAATCCTATTACCTCTATAATTACTCTAGATAAGGAGGGAAAGATTATTCTAATACTAAAGGAAGATAAGATAAAGGTTATAGCCTCTAACCCGAACTTCTTAAAGTATAATATAAAGTGCAGGTTTAAGATTAGGTTAAGGCTAAGCTTAGATAATATAGATAAGCTCTTAGTAGCTATAGTTATAATATATACTACTAAGATATAGATTCTACTAAGGAAGAAATATAAGAGGGTCCTTACTACTTATATAATAGTTATAGTCTAAGATCTAGTTAACTTTAAGATAATAGATAATAACTCTATTAGATTAGCCTAGAGTAAGATTAGCTAGATAGTAAAAAGGATTATAGAGGTAGATATAAATAAAGGTTATTATAAAGACCTTTCTAGAAAAGTAAGAATTCTTCTCTTAGTATTACCTCTAAGATTTAAGGTAACTAAGAATACTATTATAGCCTAGCTAGCCTTATAAGGTAACTATAATTAGATTCTCCTAATCCTAGAGTTATAAGAAGTAAGGGATAACCTATTTAAGATAGCTATAGCTGCCTTTAACCTTACCTATTTCCTATACTAAGAGAAATATAGTATTAAAGAATATCCTAACTTTAAGAAGGCCTAGAGGGCAATTAGAAGTTTTAACTAGGGAAACTTTTCCTACTAAGTTAAGACTAACCTAAATTTAAAATAAGCTTTTAAACCTAGAAGAAAGAATATTAAAATAAGCTTTAAAAGAAAGGACTCTCTTAAAGACCTAAGGAAGGCAATTAACTTAATTATTAAGGAAATAAAGAAAATTAGAAGACTAAAAGAGAAAGTATTTTAAGCTATCTCTAACTCTAAAGATTCTAAGAACTCTTCTTCTTACCACCTAGAAGATAAGAATATAGATAAAATTGCTTATTCTTTAATTAAAGTAAAAGGCAAGTTATTATTTTAAGAATAGCTTCTTAACTCTTATACTTTATTCTATATAACTAACTAGCTATAACTCTTTAAATCTATAAAGCCTCTATTAAAGAGGAGATAGATTAAGGTTAGGGGAGGTTATCTCTAAGTAAGTTATATAAGAGAAGCTCTAATAGAAGGAAAATTTAGTAGAAAAGTTTTACTTAAAAATATTCTTCTAGTTCCTAATCTTAGAGTTAATCTAGTCTCCTAGAATTAGTTTAGCTATTAGTTTAGTATTTAACTACTATAGTTTACCTTATTATCCTAAAATAGGACTCCTATTATATATACTAACATTTATAATAGTATATCTATTATTTCTTCTATTTCTTTAACTCTTCTAGAAAGGGGATTTTTTTATAAAATAGAACTAATAAATTAGTAGAAGTTACTTAAGTATAAGATAGCACTTCTTACTAACTTAAATTAGTAGGAGCTTTAGTATAGAAGACTTAGCTACTTTAGGAAGGGGCTTCTAAAGAATATCTATAAAGTTATAAACATTAAAGAGATCCTAATACTAAATAGTTATAATAAGGCCTATAGAATCTATATTCTTATAAAAATAAAGAAGTATAAAAGAGAGATTATAGAGAAAAAGGCTTAGGTACTTAAACTTATATCCTTAGATATCTATTATAAGGGCCGTATAAGAGTGTAAGGGGACCCTAAAGGAGCGGAACACCGCCCTTTAAACCCTTACCTAGGGAATCCCTCTTAGAAAGAATAAGGGAATTACACCCTTAGCAGGATTTCCCTATACGGATGCGACGGCTAAAGGATAACTCTACGGTACCTCTACGGCACCGCCGAGCCTAACTAGCACCGGGCGTAATCCTACAAAAGGGCAATGTCCTCGTTACCTGTTCCCTTTCGCTCCCTAGGCAATATCGTATATATCTAAGAATTACTACTTAGTATTAAGACCCCCTATTTATAACACCCTTATAGAATATTGCCTCTTATCCCTACTAGGGAACAGCCGTCTTAAGTACGAAACAAGCTCTCGATTCGAGTCTAGCGCTACTATAAAGCTACCGCAACGGCTCTATAGATCCCTACTAACCTATCGAAAATGTCTTTAGCAGGAAAAAGAGCCGTACGACCTAAACGTACCGAGGCTAATAATCCTCTAGGGTTTATTATCGATAAGGAAGATATAACGCCTAGTAGTAGCGCTAGACTAGAGGATTAGCTCGATCTAGACGGAGGTACCGCAAAGGCACCGCAAGGCAGCCGCGAACCTCCTAGAGAAGAAAACCCTCCTCCGGACACTACATTATAAAAAGAACTATCTATTAAGGAGGGCATTAATAATAATAGTGTCCCTTATAACCTATACCGTGTAATTGCTACTCTATAGGCTATAGACCCTATCGAGGCCTCGATCGATTAGATGTAGAGGCTAGAGCTGCTCGTCGCCTAGCGATCTAAGTATTAAGAGGCAAGCTCTAATAAAAGAAAAAGACAAGAATCTCTTAGGAGTTACGCGGAAGACCGAAGCTACCGCAAAGGTACCGTAG